ACAGTCAAGGTATATATCCTCAAAAGGGATAGATACGGTAAATAGATCGAAAGATTCCCGGATGATAAAAAGATATAGAAACTAAAATAAGGAGAAAATAAAATATGCGTATGACAGATTTAACATAGAAAATATGTTTTGAGAGCCAGGCTGATTATGGAAGATTTAAAAAGGAGGTGAGAAAGCAAATAAGAGAAGCAAAGAGGCTGGCCCCAACGTAAAAGGAAAACCTGAAATCTTCTGTGGCTGTATAAATAATGAAAGAAATGCAAAAGAAAATACAGTTAGGAGCCAGAAAGGAGATTTACACATGGAGGCAGAATGTGCAGCTGAAGTATTAAGCAAACACTTTGCATCTGTCTTTACAGCCTCCAAAGCAGACGTCGAGATACACAACAATGCAGAATCGCCGAATAGAGACTGATAGCTAAGTTCCGTACCCATGAAGATGGCCTCAACCGTGATCTTGGGTTCATGTCATGCTGTAGGTGACCCCCCCCCCGCCACGCTGTTCTGTATCTAAAATCTTCCTTGCTGTCCTATTTTGACACCATCACCTTGATAAATCGCTATGATCTCTCTACCTTAATTAGGTTGTACAGTTTTGAATTTGGCATACAATTCCAGTCAATTAGTTTGTCTCCAGCACCACTTTATTTTTAATTTTTTGTAATTATCTCTCTTCCTCACTCAATCAGATTATAGGTCATCCCTTTGCTGATTACTCAGCTGTTGACAATTTACTCACCGTTGAACGCTCTTGGTCACCTGCAGAGACTTACCTGACACTCCACTCACCAGTTGTATGAGCTTTTGATCTCTCCCTGTAAACTCTGGGTCTTGTGTGCTCTCCTCTCTCACTGCACCTGACAAAGGGGCAATGCTTTGAAAGCTTGTGATTTCAAATAAACCTGTTAGACTATAACCTGGTGTCATCAGAAAGACTTCTGATTTCTGGGAATGGAGTGGCCACTACTATCCACTACAGACCCACCTAAATTCCCACAGCTACCTGGACTATACATCCTTGCACCCTGCTTCCTGTAAAGACTCCATTCCATACTCCAAGTTCCTCTGTCTTTTTCGCATGTGTTCCAATGAGGCCAACTTCGACAAGGGAGCTTCTGGATTGTCCACCTTCTTCCTCAACCGAGGATTCCCCAGCACCATTGTCAACAGGGCCCTCAACTGGGTCCAGTCCATCTCCTGCACTTCTGCCCTCACCCCCTTCCCTCCCGCAACAGCAATAGGGTTTCCCTTGACCTTACCTACCATCCCACCAGCATCCACATGCAGAAGATCATCAGCCGCCATTTCTGCCACTTCCAGCAAGATGCCACCACCAGACACATAGTCCCCTCCCCTCCCTTGCCTGCCTTCTGCAGGGAACATTCCCTCTGGGGAAACCTTGGTCCACTCTTCCTTTACTCCCAACAATCCCCTCCACCCCATGGTACCTTCCCCAGCAATCACCAAAGGTGTAACACCTGCCCATTTAAGTCCTCCCTCCCCACTATCCCAGGGCCCAAACATAGCTTATGGGTGAAGCAGCACTTTACCTGCACTCCCCACAATCTAGTTTACTGCATTCGTCGCTCACAATGTGGTCTCCTTTATGTTGGGGAAACGAAGTGTAGACTGGGTGACCACTTCACAGAACGTCTACGGTTTGCCTCAAAAAAGACCCTAAGCTTCCAGTTGCCTGCCACTTTAACAAACCACCCTGTTCCCTCGCCAACATTCTCTGTCTCAGGCATGCTGTAGTTTTCCAGCAAAGCTGGAAGAACAACACCTCATTTTCTGCTTGGGGACCCTGCAGCCCTCCAGATTCAATATTGAGTTCAATAATTTTAGGCCCTGAACTCTCCCATGTCCTAGACCCCTACCCCACACACCAGGCCTTGTTATCACATAGTCTGCCATTACAGACTACCTATTGTTAGTCACTAACAGTCTCCATTAACAGCTATTCACCCTCCTAGCCAGATCATTTTCAACTCCTGTTCTGTTTTTTTGGGCTCTTTCCCCATCTATTGTTTACTCGGCCCTCTTTTCCCCCCACTTAAATTTTCTGCATATACACTGACATTTTCCTACCTACCATCAGTTCTGAGGAAGAGTCACCGGACCCAAAAGGTTAATTCTGATTTTTCTTCCCAAGTACTGCCAGACCTTCTGACTTTTTCCAGCAACTTGGGTTTTTGTTTCTGATTTACTGCATTCGCAGTTCTGTCGGTATTTATAAAACTCTCAATCCTGAATGCCTTGTTAACAGCTTTCTCCACATCCCCAAATGTGGTTTGGCCAGCATCACCCACATCTTGAGAGTAAATTCAAATAATGACATTAAATGCCCTGGTTTCCTTCATATACCAGGGTGATTGTTGTTCAGTTTGCTGGTAAAAATCTTTGTATCCTTTTTCCCAGTTTGTTTGGGATCTCAGTACAGTGCTTCCAATCTATACCCAGGGAAAGCTGATAACAGTTGAACACTTTTCTCACTACTTCTTTCAAAATAATGAGCAAATTGTGTGATGGAGGGGCTGGGATGTAGGGGTACTTGAAAGCTATTGTGGGTAAAGTGTTTTGTTTTTAGAAAAGGGTTGGGTGCTTCTTAAGATTATGGATCCATTTACTGTAGGATGTTAATGATGTGATGGTGTGTGTTGTTGCATGTTGTAACCTAGAGGGTCTTTGTAATTCTGAGAGAAATAACTTAGTGAGCAAACAGACTGCAGTAATAACAACTGTATACACATTGTTACGTGCACTTGACATTTAGCAGAGAACTGATCATTGCTTAAATATTCAGAAATTCATGCTTTTTAAAGGTTTCTTGAATTCATAAGCTCTAATGATTTGCCATATTTGAAGGTTTAAAGAATGTATTCAAAACATCTTTCTACAGTGAAATGTTGTGGAGAAGCTTTTCCTTGATTTGCGCTTCTGGTACAAATCATGAACTGGATTGGAAGTGCTGTTCAAATTGGGCTTTTACCTTCTAGACTTTATAAACCTGCCCCTTTACTTACGTGAGGTAGGTCTGAGCTGCAATAACTTGTAATTTCTTCACGAACTGGAAGATGGTAATAGTTGTGATTTTCATGCGGCTGCACAGACCCTATAATATTGGGAAAAAAAAGTCTGTAAAATCCACATCTACAAACTCCTGTCCTCTTAAGTTGACATAAACCTACTAATTGCATTTAAGTGATCCTGATTTTGAGATTAGTGACCATAAGTACCTGATTAGTCAGTACTACGATCAGGATGTTAATTTTGAATTGCAAGAGCACAGCCCAAGTCCTTGAAAATAGTGTACCTGAGAAAGGGTGGCTTTTAATCTTTATTTTTGCAGCAACATTGACCAAAATAATTTAAATATTAGTTTATGCAGCATTGTTAATGCTAATTTGAATAATGACTTGGAAAGGTGTATGTTTCCTTAACCTAATATTTGAATTTGTATGAACATCTTGTCAGTGAGCCATTAGGAGGTACAGAATATATTTGAATGTTTGCTTCAAGTTGGAGAGCAGTTTTTCAAGGTGAATTAAATACTTGGAGTCTTCCCTCCTTATATTTAGCATTAAGTAGTCCCAGAACCAGTATAGCAAGGATCACTTTGATTCAACTGTGTGCTTTCGTGCCTACCTCATCACAGAAGAAAGCCCCGGTCTTGATCATTGCAGTTGGTAAGTTATAGTACTTTTGTTCCATAAACCTGTACCTACAAGCTAAACTCGTGCCACGTGAGATCCTTTAAAGCTGAGAGAGATGTGGAAAGACTTCTGCAGTCCAAATCTAGTTTCTTTTTGGATCCAGTCATTGTACTTTGTAGTCACGAGCGTCATTTTTCTCTTTTGAGGGCTGCTTCGAGTTTCCGGGCAACTTTTGTTCTCTTCAGATAATTATCTAATTCCTTTTTGCAAATCATCATCAAAATCTCAGGCAGGCAGCACATTCTAGATCCTAATCATTCAAAGCATAAAAATGACCTTTATGTCATTGATAACAGAATCAGTCATTTTAAATTGGTGTCCCCTGGTTCTTGCCTTTTCTGTCCATCCACTCTGTCCAGAGTCCTCGTTGTTTTGAACACCTTCAGATTACCATTAGTTACCTTTTAATCGCTGCTCCAAGAAAAACAGCCCCAGCTTCTGCAATCTGTCAACAAGTGTAAAGACCCCTACTGCATGTACCATTCTGGTTACTAGTTTCTGTGCACTGTGACAGCTATGTACAGGCTAGTCTGTAGTGGACATTTACCTTCTCCAAACAACACCCCAACACCATTAAAGGAAACAAAAGGAGAATCAGAAGAGAAAATGTCTCATTCAATGTGAAAGCTCCTACTTGATGCAAGTTTATTGTATTTGTTTGTCAGACATATGAAGAAACAGGTAAATAGAATATTTTCTAGTTGCCCTTTGGTTCTGCACTGCAATGCCTCAGGGAGCTGGAACAATATATATAAAGACAAATTCATCATCTGGGGTTTATAGTTTCTTTTGGGTTTATTGCACAGGCCTCAAAGTTGTTACTGTCTTTCGACAAAGCTATACGTTTTTATGAAGACCAGTTAAACTCAATTCCCAAAAACCTATCAGCAGTTAGGGTTGCACAACGAAAACAGATCAGCAAAGCTCCAATACTGATACCAGTCTGGGTTGAGCTACCTGATCTCAGCCACTGTCGTTTAAAGAGGAGGAGACTCGATCAAAATCCCCTTTAGTGATTAGTATGGAAACAGGATTAGATTGGTTTAAGCGCACCCTATTCTTACTCTCAATTTGGTGCTGGCCTCCAAATGCTCCACGTGTCCATTGCTTACATTTATTTCAAGCCTCCCAGCCCCTCACCTCACAAGTTGACTAATGTCTAGGGTATTTTGAGTACTTTTTGGACGAATGAATCTTGTACGCTGACCCTTGGAAGCTTGGCCTATCATGGGGTTCTGAGACATTGTATGGCCTTGATTTCCAACCTCTTTGTTTCAGGTCACATCATCTTCTCCCTCCAGTTTGGTATTACTGACGATGTATTACAAAATCTGGCACATTGCAGATAGCTACACAGCCACACAAACCTTGGAAAGGGCATCGAAGGGGACTTGTGATTGGAGGAGCTGGAGCACTAACATGGGAGAGACAAACTATGATTGGGGTAAAAGCTACTTACAGATTGTGACCCCACTCCCTGCCCCTCCAATTGAGATACACTGAAGTGACCTTGAATTATTTTGTCTGGTTGTTGTATTTTGGGGTACTATTTGTAAGATTTTGGGTGTGAATTCATCTGCTGTTACAGTGCATTTCAAGTGCTGGAACCTTGCAGATCCTCAACCTTGCTGCCTCTGAGTCAAGGTTATGAGTTCATGTCTCATGAGCACAACATCTAGGTTCATATTCCAGCGTAATACTGAGGGACCGCACTGCTGTTGGATCTTAACAGATATTCCAGGTCAGTTAGTGAGAATGAAACGCAGACACAATTCTTGGAGAATTTATAGACTTCCTCAGTTTTGGCACTCTTACCTCACGCCCAGTGTCACAGGTGCTCTCTATAAATATGGGATGATTGGTCAGCTGAGTTGGCTGAACAGTTTGTTGCAATTCAGCGTGGGTTCAGTTCCCATACTACCTGTGGTTTCTCCTTCTCAACCTTACCCCTCGCCTGAGGCATGTTTATTGAGAGAACAACCCATGGTCCTCTGGGATTTCAGTGATTTTGTGTTCACCTTTTATATGTATATGCTCAATTAATGGCTATTAGTTCATGAATATTAAAAGTCCATTGTGCAGATGTGGCATTAAACTGAGGCCCTTTCTGCTGTCAGGTGGATATAAACAAGCTAATAGTACTGTTTGTAAAGTGACAGGGAGTTCTCTGTAGCGGCGTGGAACACTAGTTATTCTTCATTGACTGTGAATTTAAAAATGTACGGTCATTAATGCTGTCACGTTTCCTACATGATGACAATGGCGGCACTTTAAAAGCACACGTACTTTGTTATGGATAATTTTGTTAAATACAAATCTTCTTTCTGTCTCCACTCTCTCTGGTTTAACTGAGACTTTTCAATTAATGCTATTGTGTTTTGGGCTAATTTGCTTTGGAGAAGTTGTTGGGATGAGTAGAGCTAGTCTGTGTTATTAACAAAATATTCACAAAATTTAAGAAGGATCTGGATGACTGCTTAAAATGCCAGGGTATTGCAGGTTATAGGCCAAGGGCAGGTAAATGGGATTAGTGTAATATTTTATTTTGTTCTGAGGAAGGGTCACCATATCAGAAATGTTAACTCTGATTTATCTTTACAGATGCTGCCAGACCTGCTGAGCTTTTCCACCAACTTCTGCTTTTGTTCCTGATTTACAGCATTTGCAGTTCTTTTGTTTTTTTTTATTGGTTGGCATAGACATGGTCAGCCGAAGGGCCTGTTTCTATTCTATATGGCTCTATGACTCATTTGTGTATGAGATGTAGAGATTGTAATTATAATCTTGTGACAGCTGGGAAAATATTTAGTGCAATGGTTAGCGATTTATTTGACAAAAGAGGGAATGCTCATTTATGTATATGTTACACTGAGAACCATGATTATATAGAATAAAATGCAAATTCCCTAATCTATTCACGCCAGATTATAGTGATCATTGATTATAATATAAATATAAGTAAAAAAAATTTACTGATGCTGAGATTAATTTTATCTCATAAAGAATGAGTGTGTGAATGTGGAAGCACAACTCTTTCCCAGTTGTAGCAAAATTATAAATACAGTCTCTGTATCACTCATTTGTGTAAGAGATATAGCCATATGGTTTAGAAACAGGCCCTTCGGCTACCTGTGTCTATGCAAACCCACAAAAAAAAACTACACTAATCCCATTTACCTGCGCTTGGTCCACAGTTTACTATACACTGGCATTTTAAGTGTTCATCCAAATCCTTATTAAATGTTGCCAGAGTATCTTCCACCACCACCCTCTAAGGCAGCACCTTCCATATTTCTACTATGGTCAGGGTGAAAAAGAATTGTTTTATTTGGGTGAAAAAATTGGTTTATTATGAAATCTCATAAGTTAGCCAATGGCTGCGTGATGAATTTGGAAATCGATTTGGTGAATTGCATTTCTCAAGAGTAAATAAGACTGAGTAATTAGATACTGTCAGTGGCCACATGAACTCTGCAGTCGTATTTGCATGCCTTTGTGTATTTAACCTTTGGTAGGATTGCAAGGCAAAAAGTGTGTTTGTGCTTTTTAAAAAGTGTTTCGCTTCCTTGGATACTAAATAGCAGCAAGCAGTTAGTAAATTTGCACTTGAATAAATATTACTGTGCATTGTGAGTGTATTAGGTGCTGTGGGCTAAGATTAGTGTGGTGGTTGAGTCCCTGTGGCTCTGCCTATTACAGCTGGATGACTGTATCTGTCACATGCTTCATCGAACAATGTCACATAATGTTTGTTTAGCTCACTGGGGGATCGTGGAACATGCTTAGTGATACGCGCAATGTGGAGTAGCAGAAAATACAATTTTTCCTAATCACAACTTTCTAAAATTGAATAATTAGAACAATGAAGTGCTTGTCTTGGCTTCACTTTTTTAAAGAAAATCTTCTCTTCCATTTGGAAGAGTTTTGCTTTGATTCCCACTTACCTTGTATTTGTCCAGGCCAACTGTTGCAGACATACTGTTGACCTCTGATTCAAAGAGTGCATTGAATTGACTCGACTGAGATATCCCAATGACCAAATACACTGTTATGGTCTTTATCTAGACCTGTAGGTCTGGGTCACTGGTGGAGCTTTATTCCTGATATGAGCTACAATCTTGAGCTGAGAAAATGGGAAGGTAAATTGTGTGAAACAATCTGAAGAAGAATGAGTAAATCAAGTATAGTTACCAGATTTCTATCATTGTTAGTAAGAAGCCAATGCTGAGAAAATTAACATTCACATTAAGTAAGCATACACACAAGTACAAAGTTAAAGGACGGCCCAGTACAAATGAAAGATAAAAGAATATGCTACGTATGGGTGGCACGGTGGCTCAGTGGCTAGTACTGTTGAGTTATAGAAGTTGCACGGGCCGTGGAAGTAACAAGTAAATCTTTGCATGTGGCCAAGCAGAGACTGATAGCCAAGTTCCACACCCACGAAGATGGCCTCAACTGTGATCTTGGGTTCATGTCGTGCTACAGGTGACCCTGCCACACTGTTCTATATCTGTAAAATCTTCCTTATTGTCCTGTTTTGACAACATTACCTTGATAAGTTATGATCTCGTTACCTTAATTAGTTTGTAGTTTTGGATTACTTATTATGCGCTTGAATGCACACTCTGTCACGCACTGTCTCGCGTGCACATGTGTACACACGCATGCACATATAAACCTATCGGGTGAATCATTTCACCCAAGATGTTTGTTTATTTGCTGATACATTCTACTTTGTTCAAGAAACACTCAGTTTGTGGTCACAGTCTATCAGTGTGGCAATTCCTGCTTTTGGAATAAAACCAGCCTGACTTCAGCTTAAAACGCTGAGACAAATTCTTAACAAGGCCTCACACCTACAATTCAGTGTCTGACCTGAGATGTCACCTTTTATATTCCTATTGCTCTGCCTGATTGAAGTTTGGAAGGTTAGGCAGACATTGATGAAAGCTTTAAATATCTTGGGGCAGTAACTTGAAACAGATTCTGGAATTTGCATCTTAATCAATCGAAACTTGCGCCCCCTTTCTAACAGAGTTCTCTATACCCTGCTTCTGCAATTTCTAGAATGCAGGAATGTATGAAAATGATGAAAGATTCAACAGGAGGCAGGCAGTCAACCATTTTAGGTTTGTTCACTCACACCAGTTGTATGATCCTTTGGTCTCTTTTCCCTTCATCTCTCTGCCTATAAACTCTGCGTCTGTGTGCTCTCCTCTCACTACACCTGACGAAGGAGCTATGCTTCGACAGCTTGTGATTTCAAATAAACCTGTTAGACAGTAACCTGGTGTCATGTGATTTTTGCGTTTGTCCACCCCAGTCCTACACCAGCACCTCCACATCTTGAAAAATGAAAGGTATGAATATTATTTACAAGCATGCAAGTTACACTGCATCTATGCTGTACCGTTCCATTAGTCAGTGCGATGTGTCATAACCAGTTAATTATTTTGATTGTCTGCTTTCTCTTTCATTGTTCCAGATGTATTGAAAGAACCAGATGGCTGTGTGAGCTCTGAGGTAAGTTATCTGTTTCTCTAGGCTTCTTCAACATGCATTATAACTACACAACCTGTAGTACATTTCCAACACGGAGAATGCAATTATTTATTGCTACACAATCTGTGGAGTATTTTGATATTGCTGTGCTTGGTTCATATTGCAGTAGAGTGACTTCACACTTCGGTTTACCTTTCAAATAGAACCAAGTATGTTTTTATAAAATGAAAATTTTGTAGGTTGTTGCATCTTCCAGGAGCATGCATCAAATGATTTTTATAAGGTGTCAATAAGAGTGTGTGACAAGTTGCTCTAAAATTAGGAGGAGCCTGTCTTTGTTTTTACAGGAGTTGGTTGCAACAGGGCCCTTTATTGGGTTTTCCTACCAAGTAGCAGTATGTGACTTACGCTTATGCAGAAACTTTTGACATAAATTTGCAAAATTTCTACAGTTCCTCCTCTTCAGAGTTGTCACAAATGATGTCAATGATTAATATGCTACTATGCAAGAGGCAAGGTTAGGGGTTGGAAAAGGTTGGTGGCTGAACAGCAATACAAGTATTTCAGGCTTTGAGTTAGGTTTGTCATGATGTTGATGAAAATGGGTAATTTATTTTCAAATTCTATCATCTAATATTAATACCTGGGATCTTCACTGACCTAAAATGGATTTAAAAATGTAAGAAACACTGACTTTAAATGGCCACAGCAATCAGCTGAACATATAGATAAACCATACTTCATGAAACCAACGTGGAATAAAAAATATTGCCTGAACTGAAATTAACACTTTGCTCAAAAGATACTGAAAACCTGTTCATCCAGTCAGGCATGAAGAAATACTTATCTCTATTTTGATTTACACCCAATTGATAGACTTCATGTTTTGGTGATTAAAGAAATTACCTACAATTGTCAGCCTTGGAAATAAGGAACTCAAGACATTGAAGACACAAGCCAGCTGTATTTTTCAGGGATCTGCTTTTGACAAAGCAGGGGAGATGATTTGTTACTGGAATAGTGTGGAAAGATCTCAGTCTCTTGAGAAGACGTGAATGTTGACAGAACTGGTTCAAAAGATGCATGAGAACACAGGATACTCAAAGGGCAAGTGAAATATTTGCTACTGCTGAGAATATGGCATCGCTGTGGTCTCAGATTAAAACCTTGTATCCCAGAGGATTTTAGAAGTTTTTAAAAACATTTATGATACCTACAGTGTGGAAGCAGGTCGTTTGGCCCATCGAGGCCACACTGATCCTCCAAACAGCATCCCACCCAGACCTACCCCACTACCCTATCCCTGTAACCCTGCATTTCCCATGGCTAATCCACCTAGCCTGCACACTATAGGAAATTTAGCATAGCCAATCCATCTAACTAGTGCAGAGAGTCATGGCGATATACAGCATGGAAACAGACCCTTTGGTCCAACTCGCCCATGCTGACCAGATATCCTATATAAATCTAGTCCTATTTGCCAGTATTTGGCCCATATCCCTCTAAACCCTTCCTATTCATGTACCCCTGCAGATGCCTTTTAAATGTTATTGTCCCAGCTTCCACCACTTCCTCTGGCAACTCATTCCATACACGCACCACCCTATGCGTGAAAATCTTTGGACTGTGGTGGGAAACTGGAGCACCTGGAGGAAACCCACACAGACAAGGGGAAAATGTGCAAACTCCACACAGTCACCTGAGGCTGGAATTGCACCTGGGCCCCTGGCGATGTGAGGCAGCATTGCTAGCCACTGAGCTACCATGCCACCCTTAAGTAACATATTCTTTTATCTTTCATTTGTACTGGCCCTGTCTTCCTTTAACTTTGTACTTGTGTGTATGTTTACTTGCTGTGAATATTAATTTTCCCAGCGTTGGCTTCTTACTAACAATAATAGAAATCTGGTAACTATATTTTAATTAGAGAGAGATATAGCCTTATGTTGAAAGGAGCCACAAATCTTTATTGTTGCTAAACAAGGAGGTTGAAAAGTGAGGAGCTGATTCATCCCTCCTCTCCTGATTGTTAGAGGTTACTGATCTGAGTTCCGAGTTCCCCTTTTACTATCCTTTGCCACCTTCAAAAATTATCAGTCAGGGCCACTGGAAAACGTAGTTTCAAACTTAACTGATCCTGCTGTTTTCAGTGGAACTAGCAACCTGAATATCTCCTGAGAACTGGTTATTCAGTGGTTTAAGAATTCCCATTGATAGTTCCCACCCACTTCAGCAATTTTCCAAAAAGACAACGCATAACTGAAAATTTAAACAGCAGAAAAATGTAGCAAGGGAATTAGTGTGGGTGTAGGGAAAGTGGGCAGACAATTTAAAAATGTAAAGTCTTAAAGGGAAGTTAGCACCCTAAGAATGTACTTGTCACATTATTGAAGTGTAGGGAAATGCAAGCCATTCTGTGGTGACAAAGTCCCATTAAGCAATAATGAGATACTTGAAACAGTCAGTGTGATCAATGGTGAAACTGTTTGAGGGAAAAATGTTGGAAAAAACACTTGGTGGGCTTTACCCTGTAGTCAAAGTTGAAAGCTGTAACCTAGATCTTGGTAGCAAGTCTTCTTTTACATTTGCAGTATTATGTCCTCCCAGATTATGCATTCAAATCAGGATTAAAATTCAAAAGTTTCTAATGTAAAGGCAAGAGTAATTTAAAAACCAAAGTAATGTGGTTGACTCTCTTTTGTCCTCCAAAATGGCCCTAGAAAGCTACTGAGTTCAAGTAGCAATTAGGGATGGGCCAATGACACCCCACATTCCATGAATGAATTAAAAAAAATTATTCACGTTACAGCACCATAGAGTCATACAGCATGGAAACAAACCCTTCGGTCCAACCAGTCCATGCCAAATATAATCCTAACTAGTCACACCTGTCTGCCTCTGGCTCATATCCCTTCAGACCTCTCCCATTCATGTACTTATCCAAATGTCCTTTAAATGTTATAGTTGTACTTAAATCCAACACTTCCTCAGGACATTCATTCCACATGCAAACCACCTATGTTAAAACAAAAATGCCCCTCATGTCTGTCTTTAAATCTCTGTCCTCTCACCTTAAAAATGTGCCCCTTAGTCTTGAAATCCCTATCCTAGGCAAAAGACAAACACCACTAACTCCATGTATACCCAGCAACATTTTATAACCCTCTATCAGGTCGCCTCTCAACTTCCTACGTTCGTGAAAAATCTCCCAGCCTTTCTTTATAACGCAAACCTTCCATACCTGGCAACTTCCTGGTAAATCTTTTCTGAACACTCTCCAACTTAATAATATCCTTCCTATAACTGGGCAACCAGAACCGGACGCAGTATCCCAAAAGAGGCCTTGCCAATGTCCTGTACAACCTCAACATAGCTTCCCAACTCCCATGCTGAAAGGACTGAGCAATGAAGGCAAGTGTGCCAAATGCCTTTTTAACCACCCTGTCTATATGTGACGCAAACTTCAAAGAATTGTGTACTTGAACCCCTAGGTCCAAAACAAATGAAGTGGCCATTTATGTTATTGCTTTTGAGGGACTTTGAAAGTTTTGCAGTAAAATCATGATTAACAACGAGGTCCTGCATGACAGACTGGTTAGTAAAGCTAAATCACATGCAATCCAGGAGGAGCTAGCCAATTGAATACAAAATTTGGCTTGAAGGAGGGAGACAGGGTGGTGATGGAGGGTTGCTTTTTTGACTGGGAGACCTGTGACCAGCAGTGTGCCTCAAGGATCGGATGGGCCAATGGGCCAGAAAGTGGCAGATGGAGGTTAGATAAATGAGAGATGTTGCATTTTGGTAATGATACCTACAGTGTGGAAGCAGGTCGTTTGGCCCATCGAGTCCACACTGATCCTTTTGGTAAGGCAAACCAGGGTGGGATTTACAGTTAATGGTAGGCCCCTAGGGTGTATTGCTGAACAAAGAGATCTATGCTAATGTATAGTTCCTTGAAAGTGGAGTTGCAGGTAGATGATGGTTAAAAAAAGCTTTTGGCATGCTTGCCTCCGTTGGTTATAACATTGAGTATAGGAGCTGGGACATCATGTTGTGGCTGTTCAGGACATTGGTGAGGCCACTTTTAGAATACTGCATACAGTTCTGGTTACCCATTTATAGGAAGGATGTTGTTAAACTTGAGAGGGTGCACAAAAGATTTACAAGGATGTTGCCGGGACTGGAAGGTTTGAGTTATAGAGAGAGGCTGAATAGGCTGGGTTTTTTTCCCAGGAGCATTGGCGGCTGAGGGGTAACCTTTATAGAGGTTTCTAAAATCATGAAGGGCATGGATGGGGTAAATAACAAGGTATTTATCCTAGGGTGAGGGGAGTCCAAAGCTAGAGGGCACAGGTTTAAACTGAGTGGGGAAAAGTAGCTGAGGAGCAACTTTTTCATGCAGAGAGTGGTATTTGTGGAAAGAGCTGCCAGGGGTGGTGGTGGAGGTGGGTACAACTACAACATTTAAAAGGCATCTGGATGGGTACATGAATAGGAAGGGTTTAGAGGGATTTGGGCCAAATGCTGGCAAATGGGACTAGGTCAGATTGGGATGTCTGGTCGGCATGGACGAGTTAGACTGAAGGGTCTGTTTCTGTGCTGTGTTTACCTACGTAACAATGACTAATTTTTAAAAGTATTTAAATGCTTTTGAAGCACCTCTGAATGAAGGTTCTGAGTTTGTAAAAGGTTCTATATAAAAACTAGTTTGATGTTGTTACCCTTGAATTGACGTGCAGGATGTGCCATGATCGTAATGTATACCCAAGCAGGTTTATAAAGGGTCTAATGACTTGGTCTTGCCATTTCAACATTTTTGGTCCATTTGTTCCCAACCAGGGAATTTGTAGTAAAATAACTATAAAAAAAGTTAGAAAAGGACCAGTCAGAATTTATTTGTGATACAGCGCTTTCCTAGGATTTGAAATTAAAATGTATGTTGAATTTTTTTTCGCTCCGTGAAGACTTTTCATTTTGTACATTACAGGTTGCAATACCAATTAGCGGGGATGTTCCAGCGTTAGTGCAACAGTTTGTGGAGGAGAAAATTCAGACCACAATGGTATGTAAATGTAACTAACTGTTAGATTCCAGAAAGCCAGCTAATGGAAGAATAGCCTTTACACTTTATAGGCATTTATCTACAGTTGTACACATTACAGCCATGCACCATCTACCTCAACCACTACAGTTTCAATCCATTTAGGAGCTCATATGAGTCCCAGCTAATGACCATCAAAGCATATAATTAAATACCATTAACATATGAAAAACCGCCTTTTAAAAATTAATTGCATTGATGAACATTGTGTAGTGTAAGAGCAGTACATTGTGAATCATTCCTCCTCCAGAACTTCTGCAATTTCTTCATGAATGTAAATGTTGGTAACTTCCGTCCACCCATTTTGTTTTAGAAATTTACTTTGTCTAACATTAGTTTCAAACAAGCATAATCTTTCTTTCAGTGTATGGTATGATCATTTATGTAACATTCACTGGCTATACTATTTTTACTACACTCATTGTCCAAAATCTCAATTGAAGTATTTCCTAGTAGGATCCCGTAGTGACTATCTCTGCAAGGGCAAGTGTTTCAGCAGCAATGTACTGTTTATTATTTTAGCTTCCCAATTTAAAGGATAACAATTCATACTCTTTCCCCCACCAAATGTAAAAGCAGCAACACTATAATACTTAACAGAAGGGGGAAGTGATGGCCTAGTGGTATTGTTGCTGGACTGTTAACCCAAAGACCCAGATAATGATCTGGGGACGTGGATTCAAATCCTGCCACGGCAGATGGTGGAATTTGAATTCAATAAATATCTGGAATTAACAGTCTAATAATGACCATAAATCGATTATTGGAAAAGCTCATTTGGTTTACTAATGTCCTTTAGGGAAAGAAACTGCCTGGTCTGGCTTACATGTGACTCCAGAGCCACAGCAATGTGGTTGACTCTTAACTGCCCTCTGCGCAGTTAGGGATGGGCAATAAATGCTGCTTGGTCGGTGATGCCCTTATGTCATGAATGAAAAAGAGGAAGATTAGCATGTGAAGCAGTATTAAATGTTGTGTTCTTTGGGTCCCAAAGAATGAGAATTTAAGTGTGTTTATCCAACCAGAATTTTCTTAATGCTTCTAAAGGAACTAGATCGCAAGCTTAGTAGACCTCTCAAGTGCCTGCAATACAATGTGGCACACTAGCCTGCTCCTAAAGCTGGTCAGAGATTATTCAATATGGAAATAACACTTTCTTAATATTGTTGTTTTAAAGCTATGCTAGACTTCTTTGCTTAATATTTAAACAAATATCTTTGAAGGCCCCACACACCTGACTCCCAATTTTAATGTTCCACTTTAATCTTACTAATAACACTATTTTTGAATTCCACAGTACTGTCCAGTAAGTACTCATCAACATTCATCATGAAGATGCCAGAAAATATTCCTTCATGAAACCATTCCAACACTAATGGAACAAATGAACCCTGTCCAATACCACCCTCCTCTGCCTGGCTGAGGTTATTGTCACTTTGAACAACTTCTCCTTTAATTTCTCTCACTTATTCCAGGGCAAAGGGGTGGCCATGGATATCCACATGGGTCCCAGCTATGCCTGTCTCTTTATGGGGTATATGGTACATACCTTGTTCCAGTCCAACTCCTGCTCCACCCACAGTTCTTTCTCTGACACAACTATGACATCATTGTTACTGCTTTCCCCTCTTGTCTGGAAAATGGAAACGTTTACCTATTTCGCTTCCAATTTCCACCTTCATCCAGCCCTTCTCTGACTCCTCCTTCCCTTTTGACACCTCTATTTCTATTTCTGGGGGACCCAAAGAACACAACGTTTAACACTGCTTCACATGCTTTAAACCCATTGACTCCCACAGTTACCTTGAATGTACATCCCTCACCCTGCTTCATGTGAAGACTCTATTCCATTCTTCCACTTCCTCTGTGTCCATTACATCTGTTTCAATGATGTCAGCTTTGACAAGGGGGTCACCGAAATGTCCACCACCTTCCTCAACTGAGGCCTCCCCATTGCCATGGTTGACAGGGCCCTCAGCCAGGTCTGACCCATGTCCTGCACTTCAGCCCTCACCCCCTCCCTTCCCTTCCACAACAGCAGTAGGGTTCCCCTCATCCTCACCTACCTTCCCACTAGCATCCACATCCAGATAATCATTAGCTGCCATTTCTGCTACCTCCAGCGGAATGCCACCACCAGACACACATTCACCTCCCTCCCTTGTCTGCCTTCCTCAGGGACTGTTGCCTCTGGAACACCACTCCACTCCCAACACCTCCCATTCCCCCATGTCACTTTCCACTGCAACTACAACCTGGCCCTTCACTTCCTCACTCCTCACTATCCAAGGCCCCAGACACACCTTTCAAGTGAAGCAGCAATTTACCTGCACTTCACTCAATCTAGTCTACTGTATTCACTGCTCACAGTGTAATACCCTCTACATGAGGGAGCTGAAGCAAAGACTGGGTGACTGCTTTGCAGAACATCTATATTCTGCCCGCAAAAGTGACCCTGAGCTTCTGGTTGCTTGCCTTTTCAACACATCACCATATTCCCTGGTCAACATCTCTGCCTCAGGCTTGCTGCAGTGCTCCACTGAAGCTCAGCATAAGCTGAAAGAGCAACACCTCATTTTCCACTTGGGATCCCTGTAGGCTTTGGGACTCAATCTTGAGTTCAACAATTTTGGGGCCTGCACACCTTTTCCCATGTCCTTACCCCAATCCGTGCACACCAGGCCCTGACATCACATGAGCTGCTACACAACCATCCCATTGTCAGCCAATAACAATCCCCATTCATTCTCCCAGGCTGACACTTACCCACTGCTTTGTCTGCCCAAATATTTTTCTATTTCTGGGCTCCATCTCCACCTACTGTTTACTCTTTTTCCCCTCCCTCCACCCTTCATTAGCTTATATACCAACCTTGTCCCAGCTACAGGCAGTTCTGAAGAAGGGTCACTGGACCCGAAATGTCAATTCTCCTTTCTCTGCACAGATGCTGCGTCACCTGCTGACCTTTTCCAGAATTTGTTTTTGTTTCTGATTTTCAGCATCAGCAGTTTTTTTTTGTTTACTATGGGATCTATTTTTAGCAAACATATCTCACTGAAAAGTACAACACCTTAGAGGCGGCATATGGACATGTTTGTTTAGCTTTTCTTCTGCATTTGCTGCTTTGGTTTGTTTCAGAAAGACTTTTTGAAAACTTGCTGAAACACTGGTTTTGGTGTTGATTGACTGACCTTTGCTCCAGACAATATGTAGCCAAATATTAAGATTGTTCTGATTTGAATCTCTCATTCACTTTTGAAACTCCTCGCAGTGCAGTTCACTTATGTGACAAAGCTGGTTTTTACTTGCTTCAGAATAAACACCAAATTCTCTGAAGTTATCGAACTCCCTTTGTTTTGCCTTTTACTAGTTTATTGTCAAGTTTATTGGCAGCCATTAAATCTTCATGGTGAAGAGAATGACTGTTTGTTCTGTTGCAAGATTGTTCTGTGGCTTTTATTTAATTGTCTTATTGAGTTGCAGGTCTATTTCCACTTCTGTCAGTCATAACTGCTGCCTCAAGATCTCATTCTTGCACTATCAGAGGTTTTACTTAGTAATTTGTGATGGGTTATCTGACACAAGAATCACTTTAGGTCCCTTTATCAGAACTTGCTTTGTATTTTCTAGTTATCTACTTTATCACCCTGTTCTGTCAGTCTGTGGACCTCACTTCTTGGTTCACACCCTCAACATTCAATCAATATTTGAATTTACCAGTGCCTTCCCTGCAAGTCCCACAATTGCTGTATCCCACTGTGCAATTAGACCCTCTGGATTATGTCACTGAAGTATCTACTTGCAATGAATTCTTCACATGAACAGCTCAAGCCAGTTGTTAACTTGCATTCTGGTTGATCAGCAAACATGTCATTGATAACTGCAAGACTCATACCAATATCTTCGAATTTTGAGAAATTCACAAGTTGTAACTTTCTTCCCTTTCTCTTTCCTGCCACATTGTATGTTAGTGCGTGTGAATGAAATAACAAAGCTATTTCCTATATTTCGAATGTTTTGTTAACAAATTCTATCCTTGATTTAATTTTGAAAGGTTTTACTGTTGGTTCATTTAAAAAATTGGAATCCAGAAACTAGGTTTTGTGGTGCAGTCTTCAGCCCATCTCAGTGAGGGCCATGAGTAAACGGGGAAGGGAGTAAATTGAACAGTACCTTGCTGTTTAGAGTTTGAGGGGGGATACACAATCATAATTTAAATTCACCTGTATTCCTCATCTGCTCCATGACTTTTTGTTACTTATTTTATATCTTCATCCTCTGATTACTGTCCTCCCTGCTAGTAGAAACTGCTCCCTTGTATTTTCTTTATATAACGCTCCCTACAAGTGTCTTGACTCAAGGCTTTATAGTGTAATTACGGGGTGACATGCAGTCATCTCTGGGCTTATCTAAAAGCTCCACTTTGATTGTCGTTAGTCTGAAGGTTCTGTTTCTCAGATGATACAGCATCCGAATAAACCTTCTTACACAGGCTGTACTTTTAAACTAGAGCTGCATTTTTTACCTGGCAGTTGATTGGCTTTGAGTGGGAGGTGGAACAACACCCCCAAAATGCCCATTCTGGAATCCTATGTTTTACGTCTGTATGAATCAATTTTTCTGTGCCTCTACTCCTTTTCTTCCCGCCTTCCTTCTCTACCCAGTTGCCTTTGGATTCCCACTGAAGGCCAGTCCAAATATTTCTGCCAGCTGGTATTGCTTTTACGACGATACAAACCATCTTGAGTTTTATCTTTAGGATAAAAACAGATAGGACAGGAATGGAACAGTTTAATAGCACAAAGGAGGCTCTGGCTTCCTGACAGTATTCCTCCTTGTGCATGTGTTACTGCTTGTGGACCGAGGCAGCAATACTGTTTTATGCAGGAGATGGGAGGGATTGGACAAGATGACAGCTGGACAACATTAAACAAGTGATCCACATCCCAAGAAACATTAGGCCCAGGATATAGAGGAATTGGTGTTGCTGAACTCTTGAACATCCGCAGGTGTTATACCAAATTGAATCCAGAGTTTATCCTTTACAGTTGAGTTATATTTCAGAAATAGAAAATACTCATTGAATTAGGTAAGTGCACCGTATTGTATCTATGGACCGGCTGAATAATAGAGTCTTCGAATGTAGTGTTATCAGAATTAAACTGCTATATCTAGTGCAACCAAGATATCAACATTTGATGGTTTTCAGCAACCTTTGAACATTTACGGTTTGATTGAGCAGGCTGATGTTGCAAGGGCAGACATGACGCAAATCTATTGCAGGCTTAAACCAAGGAAAATGGTATATGTTTGATGAGGTTGGTTGGCTCGCCGAGCTGGTTTGTTGTTTTGCAGACGTTTCGTTACCGTGCTTGGTAACATCCTCAGTGCAGCCTCCGATGAAGCGTCGGTGTGTTTTCCCGCCTGATTTTTAAAGTCTGGGGTCCGTTGAGATGGATTGCCTCACTTCCGGGTTTCCTCCGTAGTGGAATGTATATGGGGTCGAGTTCAAGGTGTTTATTAATAGCCTGCTTCATGGAGTGCCATGCTTCCAGGAATTCTCGTGCTTGTCTCTGCCTAGCCTGACCCAGGATCTTGGTTTTGTCCCAGTCGAAGTCTTTGTTCTCCTTGTCCATGTGGATTGAGATGAGTGAGTATTGGTCGTGTCTTTTTGTAGCCAGTTGGTGTTCATGTACTCTTGTTGTTAGTTTCCTTCGTGTTTGTCCAATGTCATGTTTCTCGCAGTCTCTGCAGGGGATTTTGGAGATGACACTGGTCCTGTCCATGGCGGGGAGTGGGTCTTTAGTTCGGGTGAGCAGTTGTTGTAGGGCTGATGTGGGCTTGTGTGCCACTCTGATGCCCAGCGGTCGTATCTTCTGACCCAGTTCTTTGGATATCCATTATCCTTGAACACTTGGAAGAGGTATTCTTCTTCAGAAGAATACCTCTTCCAAGTGTTCAAGGATAATGGATATCCAAAGAACTGGGTCAGAAGATGCCTACAAGAACAGCATCAGAAAGATTCTACACGCCCCGACACCCTTATCGCACTACCCTACGTCAGGAACACGTCGGAACTCAAGACAAGACTCCTACGACCGCGGGGCATCAGAGTGGCACACAAGCCCACGTTAACCCTACAACAACTGCTCACCCGAACTAAAAACCCACTCCCCGCCATGGACAGGACCAATGTCATCTACAAAATCCCCTGCAGAGACTGCGAGAAACACGACATTGGACAAACACGAAGGAAACTAATAACAAGAGTACATGAACACCAACTGGCTACAAAAAGACACGACCAATACTCACTCATCTCAATCCATATGGACAAGGAGAACAAAGACTTCGACTGGGACAAAACCAAGATCCTGGGTCAGGCTAGGCAGAGACAAGCACGGGAATTCCTGGAAGCATGGCACTCCACGAAGCAGGCTATTAATAAACACCTTGAACTCGACCCCATATACATTCCACTACGGAGGAAACCTGAAAGTGAGGCAATCCATCTCAACGGACCCCAGAGTTTTAAAAATCAGGCGGGAAAACACACCGACGCTTCATCGGAGGCTGCACTGAGGATGTTACCAATCACGGTAACGAAACGTCTGCAAAACAACAAACCAGCTCGGTGAGCCAACCACCCTCCACACCCACAACCCGAGCTATAGATCTTCTCCAAAACCTTAGGTATATGTTTGAGTGTGGATTAAGTAATGTTAGTGAGAGGACACAAACTAAGGGATCAGAAACATGGTAGTACTTATTTATGATGTCAGTAGAGTTTAGATAGTTGGACTAGGCTTGTTATGAATAGATTTGTGACGTATTTTAGAAGGAACAATGAGAACAGGCAATGTAGACAAAACGGATAGGACAAGATGAGGAAAGAACTCACATGGGTCCTTGGACTTCCATAAGCCGAGTCTTAAGATTACAAAAACAAGGAATTTTTTTAATTAATGAACAGTTAGATCTCAGCTGGAGTATTGTGTGTAATTTTGGGCCCTCAACCTACTATTTCCAAGGCCTTAGAAAGTGCGGAAAAGATTGGCTAGAGTTTTGTCAGTGATGAGTGACATTAGTTATGCATAGAGACTGGAGAAGCTGGGGATTGCTGTTGTAAAATCAGGTGGTTGTTGGGAAATTTATTGGAAAGGTTCAAAATTAGTCTTTTTTAGAGTAAATAAGGAGAAATTTTCTACACTCAGGAGTGGCAATAACCCGAGAACATAGATTTGAGGTACAGGTAATTGCAAAAGAGTGAGAGGGAGATAATATTCTTTATACATCAAGTTATGATCTGGAATGCACTGTCTGAAAGAATAGTGGAAACTGATCCAATCATAGCCCTCAAAGTTGAACAGGATATTCAGCTAACGGGTGAAAAGTGCAAGATTGTGAGGGAAGAGCAGGGGAGTGGAGTGGGATCAATTGAGATAAAGAACGTAGTGATACCATAGTTATGATAAGCTGTTTGGCCTCACCTGTGATTTGAATATACCATGTGTGCTCTCTATTAAAATTGAATTATTCATTTTAAAACACAACTTTTGAAAATTGCTCTGTCCTGTGGATAATAGCATTAGACAGTATAATGTCAAGCCAAACAGGCAAGAAAATTTGTGTTGTATTAGCTGATCTTAACTAGACCTACAGATAATGTACACTAATTGGTTCCTGATTGATGGTGGTTGATGGCGATTACAATGTAAAGGGTGTGTAAACACTCGGCGGGGGGGGATAAATAAGACGGGACTGTCCTGTCTTGCTCCACATGGTTGAATAAATTGCCAGTAACCATTTTCTAGGCTGACGTGAACAGCTGTCACTTGATCAAGGCGCTGGATGGTAGACAGTGAATAGGGACCTGCCACAGTGCTTACTGTGTGTTCCTGTGTGCCCAGGTTGAAAGCTACACTTGGAGCAGGGATCAGAGCTAAAAGGTCATAGTCCCAATAGACTCATAGCCCCAGAGACTCTTGGCCTCAGAGAGGGTGGGATCATGGGATGAACGTTCAAGTTCTAGTACGACAGGGTTGAAGGAGGAAAAGCATTAGGTGGTTGGTAAGGTGACCAATGGTTTATAGTAACGTGTAGTTTTGATATCAAAATGAGCACAACGTGTGATTGTTCAGTATTTTGGTTAAATATTTTCCCTTTTTTTGCAGCTGACGGGAATGATGATTGGAGCGCTTGCTGCTGTTCTTATAGTGGCAATTGTTGTATTTTTCATCTACAGAAGAGTAAAGCAATCAAGTAAGTAAAGTCCAGACTAAAGTGCTAACCAAATAGTTTGATGTGATAGCATATTGTGCTACCCAGTCCCCACCAAATCACTTTTTCAAAAGTAAAATATTTTCCGAATCAACTCGTTTTTTTATTTTCTTTTAAATATCAGTAAACTTGTATTAATTTTCTTCCTTACAGGACACGATTGTGGAGCAATGCAGTGTTTTTGCAGGCAGATATACCATCTACCATCTTGTGACAGAGCATCAGTAGTTAGACGATATTCACACTTCAGTCCGTCATTTTAGGGGTTGTGAGCACACTCTGAGCTATGAACAGGAAATCCGCTATTGTGCAGGCTAATAAAGAACAATGAGAAAGCCCACCTTTGTTGCCTAGGTGTTATTTCTTCATTGTGTTGAACATTGTATTGCCCCAGGTTTTAATTTGCTGTTCAGCAGGTTCTGATCCCTCAGACCATTACTGCTAAAGTAGAAAACAGTTATTATGAAGTCAGCTTCTTTTCTCAATTTCTCTATCTTGGAATATATGTTCTGTCAAATTAAAGCTAATGCTTCACCATGGCAGTTATGGGCTTGATAAGAATATCTACAATTATTTGGAATCAATAGATTAATCTGCTGGTAGGGTGAGCTCTAGATACCTGGCTATAGACAAAACCCCTAAATAACAGCAATCACATCATTCAGTTTGAGCAAGAGAGGAGTGGATCCAAGACTAAAATTTTAAACTTTAATGAGGACAATTAGGTATTAAAGCAAAGCCAGCTGAAGTAAGCTGGCAATTTAGATGAAAGGGTAGATCAATAGAGATGCAGATATTTAAGGAAATATTTCGGTTGCACAGAATACATAAGTCCTGATAAGAAGGGGAAAAGTTCCAAAGGCAGGAAGCACTGTCTGGTTAAATAAAAAAGCTCAAGATAGTTACAAACTTAAAGAGAAAGCAAATAATTGTGCAAAGGTGGTTGGAAGATCAGAAGATTAGACAACATGAAATACAGCAAAGATTGTCTAAAAGATTAATAAAGTGGGAAAAATCAGTAGAAGAGAAAGCTAGCTAGAAATATAAAACAAAAAGAGCCCCCATAGATATTTAAAGAGGACAAGTTAATAAAGTGACCATTGGTCCTACTGTAAGTGATTTTGTGAATTCATTATGGACAATAAGGAGTTGGATTGAATAGGTATTTTTCATCAATCTTCGTTGTAATAGCTGCAAATCGTGGAATTGGAAGGGAGGGAGCAACTTGATTATAATCGCCTGGGAAATGGCACTGAGCCAATTGTTGGAATTGCAGCCTGACAAGTCTCTGGATCATAGTGTCAAGTAAAGTGGTCAGTGAGATAGGTAATGGATTGTTTTTAATTTTCGAACATTGTCTAGATTTGGAGAAGTTAATGAATGTAAATTCTCTATTCAAAAAAGGAGAGAGACAGAAATCAGGAAACTACAGGCCAGTTGACTTAACATTTGAAATAGGGCAGATGTTAGAAGTTAATAGTAAAGACATGATGGCAGGGCACTTGGAAAGATTCAAGGTAATTTGAAAAGTCAACATGGTTTTGTGAAAGGAAAGTCATGTTTAATCAGTTTTTTTAGTTAGTTGAGGTGATAATGTGCTAAGGATAAAGGGGAACCTTTACAGAGGTGCAGTTCTTTGATTAGAATGCATTTGATAGTTGCCATATCAAAGGTAATTACAGGGGAATAAAAGAAGCTCATGGGGTAGGGTGTAAAATGTCGGCATGGATAGGTTATTGGCTAATGGTATATATTGGTCATTTTCTGGTTGCAAGATCTGATGAGTGATTTGTGACATGGATGAAACAGGTGTCAGTAGTTAAGCAGGCAAGTGGTTGTTGACCTTCATTGCAAGAGGATTTGAGGGCAGGAGCAAGGATGTCTTACTGCAGCTGTACCTTGGTGAGACCACACCTGGAGTATTGTGAGGTTTCCTTTTCCCTAGCTAAGATAGGATATACTTGTCATGGGTGGTGTTTGTGTATTGAAGTTTCACCAGAGTGATTCCTTGGGATGGCAGGATTGTTGTTTGAGCAGAGACTGAATCAACTAGGCCTATGTTTGTTGGAATGTAGAAGAATAAGTGGGGAGGGATGTCACTGAAATGTCTAAAATTCTGCCAGGGCTGGACGAACTGAACGCATGGATGTTATTTCCCCGGCTAGGAGTAAGATGTTTAGAACAAGGTGCCACTGACTCAGGATTCGGGGTAAGCCATTTAGGTCTGAGATGAGAGATTTTTTCACTCAGGGTGGTGGACCTGAATATTTAAGAAATAAATAGATTTACAAATATTAAAGGCATCAAGGGTTATGGAAGAGAGTGGGAGTTTGGCATTGAGAAAGAAGATCATCCATAATCCTATTGAATGGTGGAGCAGGTTTGATGTGTCAAACATCCACTCCTGTTCCTGTTTGTGTTTCTCTCAGGGCTGGGGCCTTTACCTTTATCATTTCCATATATGACTTGGATGAAGGAACCAAAGGTGTGCTTGTTAAATTGCTGCTAACACATTAGTAAGCAGTGATGTTGTAAAAGTAAGTTGTGAAGAGGACCTAAGGAAGCTACAAGAGTTACAGATTAAGTGAGTGGGCCAAACTTTGCCAAATGGAGTACAATGTAGAAAATTTGAAATTGTCTATTTGGGCAAGAAATATACTATGTATTATCTTAATGATAAGAGATTGCAGAGCTTTGCAGAAGCAAGACTCTGGTGTCCTGGTGCACAAATTGCAAAAGGTTGCATTGCAGGTAAAGCAAGAGATTAAGAAAACTAATAGAATGTTAGCATTTATTGTGAGGGGCATTGAATACAATTGGTGAGACTACTGAGCAGTATTGTTCTCCTTATTCAAGGAACAATGTGAATGTTTTGGAAGAAATTCAAAGAAGGTTTACTAGACTAATACCTGTACTGGGGACATGGTTATTTGTTGTCATCTAATATGGTCTGAAGGAATGCCTGTGGCTTAATAGTATAAGGGAATGGGTGATGGATATAGATATTTTTAATGAACGTATCCAAATATGGTATGACCTTTTGGAGCAGGTGGGACATTACTGCTGCACCACAAGAGCCCGTGGCTGACGGATATATTTTGGGGAGGTGATGGCCTAGTGGTATTATCGCTAGACTCTTAATCTGGAGACCCAGATAATGTTCTGGGGACCTGGATTCAAATCCCACCATGGCAGATGGTGGAATTTGAAATCAATAAATATCTGGAATTAAGAATCTAATGATGACCATGAATTCATTGTCATTCTTGGAAAAACCCATCTGGTTCACTAATATCCTTTAGAGAAGGAAACTGCCATCCTTACCTGGTCTGGGCTGCATGTGACTCTAGATCCACAGCAATGTGGTTGACTCTTAACTGCCCTCTGAATAATTAGGGATGGGCAATAAATGCCAGCGATGCCCTCATCCCGTGAATAAATAAAGAAAAATATATTGAGTTAGTTGGATTTGAATTGGTTGCATATATATAGGAAACTAAAAGTGCTCTAGTGTAGCACTGCAGTGCCAAAAGGTCAGAGTTCAAGTCCCACCTGCTTCAGAGGTGTGCATCTGAACAGGTTGATTGCAAAATATCTGTAAATGGGGAACTAGACATCAAAGGGAATGAGAAATTTTGCCACTGGCCAGAGTTGTTAGAGATGCATTTATCCTGGCCGATGGAACTATTCTGTTGTATTCTTGACTTGTCCTTGTAGATGATGGGCAGAGTGTGGGGGCTTAGAAGGTATGTTACTAGCAAAATGTTAAATTATTGGAGCTTGGCACTATAGCTAGCTCAGTTGTCTGGACGGCTAGTTTGTGATGCAAAGTGACACCCAACATCATGGGGGAGGCCACCATGAAGGGCCTGTTTTTTTTCCAACTCTCCTTTCTCTTTAATGAGAGAGCAGCCCAATGGTTCCTTGGGGCTATAGCGACTTTAATTATTTCATTATACATTCTCAATCATTCAGTGATGAGCAAAACTTTTAACATTTAGCAGTCGCTACAATCTATTCCCACCCTTTCTACGTGAATTTTGTACCATCTGCATTATGTTACATACTTAACCTTGACTGCTTTGTAAAAGTGGTTCTGATATTGCACTAAAAATGTTAAGAGCTCAGTAGATTACTAAAGGTCTACATAGATGTTCTTCTGGTTCAACTACCTACTGGCAAATGGAGAGGAATTCTGCTTAATAGTTCAGCTTAGCTTTCAGGTTAAATCAGTGACTTTGGCGAATGTTAATCAAGGACATTAACTCTTGCTGTGTGAGAAAAAATCTTTCTATTCTGATCTTTTAGCTGTTGACACTTTTGCCAGCTGGTTTACAAGCCACGTAGAGTACAAGGAGAATCTTGATTAAATTTGAGATGTGCAATTGCTTTTCTTAATGAGGTGTAATGAACACAGATGGAGATTCCCTTTTCTGTTTACTGTACTCTTTACAAACCTGTAGTATCCTTCACAGGTTTCCATTTGTGAGTTCTCCACATTGCTATCCATAGATATTTAACCTGATAGTAAAGGTAAGTAGAGATAGCAGGATGAAAGGCATAGAAAGATGCTTCTGCCTATTTTCTTAGCAAGAAGATCATTCAAGTCTGGTCTTGACATACCTGCTTCCTCAGATCATGACTGATTGAATGCAGCACTGAAGACAGTACCATCTTTCAGATGAGACAATAGACTGAGATTCTATTTGCCCTTTTTGGTGAATGAGAATCTGTAGCACTCTTGTAAAGTAGGGATGTGTGATTGTCAATTTCTGCATAAATGTTAACGAGGTGGAAGACCAGATAATGCTTTTGGCGCTGGTTGGGGGATAAATAATTGAGTGAAACCAAGAGATCCGCAGTCCCCTTTGGCAACAGGACAGGAGCCAGTATTTGTGATATGAGTGGAATATTTAATCATAGGGTCAATACAGCAGAGCCTGACCCTGCTTCAATATGATGTCCGCAGCAGTCCTTCTAATTGATGGGCATTGGATGCAATCGCAATTTGAATGTTGAAAATATCTCCAAATTCAAAAACAGAAGTTCTTGCTCCTTTTTTGGTTCTGATACTTCTGGCAGTAATGCCCAGGGCAGTTTCAGTCAAAAGTCGAAGCACGTTTTCACAGCTAAGAATAATGTCCTCCCTATTGAATGATTGATTGATTGCTTTAAGCACTCTTTCTGTAAGAGTGCTTTTTGGGTAATGTGCTCACATCTATGGTTTTGATTTCCCTTGCAGAACAGCAGCAGCAGGGTGTGACTAGGTACAGGTTCCGGAAGAGGGACAAGGTGATGTTTTATGGAAGAAAGATCATGAGAAAGGTAATTTTTGCCATGCAGCCAGATCTGTCAGATGGTTTGAAAAGGCCTTTTAGACCTACCTATCTTGTGTAATTACTTCATTTCCTGCCGTTTAAATGTATTTACAAACATGTTATATCTGCTCTAATCTGTTATGACTCTGAGCCAGTGATATCGTTTCCATTGCTCTGCCTGTGGTACTGAATGGTGAAACATTTCCACCAAATGTTATACCTTGAATTATTTTAACTTATGGAGAGCATTTGTGGGTTGGGCTGGGGAAATTGGTGGCAATGTGAGCCTACACTAATGACAACATGGTCTTATTTAGGTTGGGTCATAGAATCCCTATTGTGTGGAAGCAGGCCATTTGGCCCATCGAGTCCACACTGATCCTCCAAAGAACATTCCACCCAGACCCATTCCCCGTACATTTCCATGGCTAGTCCATCTAGCCTGCACACCCTTGGACGTTATGGGCAATTTAGCACGACCAATCCACCTAGCCTGCACATCTTTGGACTTTGGGAGGAAACCGGAGCATCCGGAGGAAACCCACACAGATACAGGGAGAATGTGCACGCTCCACACAGACGGTCACCCAAGGATGAATGGAACCTGGGTCTTTGGAGCTGTGAGATAGCAGTGCCAGCAACTGAGCTACTGTGCCACTCTGTTGTTATGTGAATGGCTGAAGTTTGGTCCTGCTGATTTTGACATATCTGTTTTGGTATTGCCAATTACCTGTTGCAATGGTGTGTGATTTTTACAGTTATTGGTGCAATTTATTAGTTTGTTTTTTCTTCTCTCTGAGTTAGTCTTGTGTACAACTCAGGCTGATGGAATGTAAACTACTCACACAGCTCCTCTTCCTTCCTCTTAAGAGGTCCTACATGACATGAATGTACAAAGTCTGTGCTGTTTGGTGGCTTGTCTCTGGCAGTGTAGAAATGGAATTGTATAATGTTGTTACAACGGGAATCATTTATTGGAGACAGGCACAAAAAGAATAATATGTTCTAAATCATGCTACACAGTATCTCCTGTGTGTGTTTGGATGAATAGGAAGTATTCTGTTACACAATCCGTCCAGTTTTGAGAAGTACAGCATAAAAAGTGGGGGGAATCTACTGGTACTACCTCATAAGCACCAGAAGGTGGTGCTTGTTCCTTACAAATGAACACAAATTTAGATTACAGTGTTCTAGGTTTGAATACTTCAGTATTAGTCTTGTCAAGTTTACTTTCAGTAATAACTCCACAATTTTGGGAACCATTTCATTGAGATTTTCAAAGGAATTGCGAGTTAGTTGTCGGGTTCCCCCTTCTTTATCTTTTTACACTTCTGTGTAGGTTATGTTTTATTATTGTTTCATCCAAGAGGTAGGAAGTATCACTTTCTCCTTTACCTATCTTCATTTTCTTTCTCTTTTTCCTTAGCAATATATATTAAGGTTAACAGCATTAATGACCATAGGGTGGTGCTGTTCTGTACGGAATAAAACACCACCATTGCATTTATCCATTGCACCAGTGGGTTTATGTTTCAAGTAGATGCCACACCAATGTCACACCCATCCCTTCCTGTGACCACCATCTGCCCCAAGTGTAACAGAGCCTGCGGAAGCTGTACTGGTCTGTACAGCCACCTAAGGACTCACCCTGAGAGTGGAAGAGAGTCATCGTTGCCTGCGAGGGACAACCAATGAGATGTTTGAATGATTGTGTTTTATGATTTTAGCTTGTTGATCAAAAATACTAAAATTAATTGTGCAGATGGCAGGATTTTGATGGAGTCCTTTTAAAATCCATGATTGAATCCTTTGGAAGCAAATTACCAGGTTGCACATAAAAAGCAAATGAAGTAAGAACATTTAAAACAGTACAGGATGATTTTGCTGCTAATTAATCTGCATTTCTTTAAAACCCAGGTGAAACTGTCTACCTCATCACTGGTTGGGAACAATGTGCCTCGTCAGAGGTTGAGGAAGAGGCAGAAGGTACTGAACCTGGCTAGAAGGTACACCCTGTGCAAATTGCTTTAGTTTATTTATAATTAATCCTAATGAAGGGGAGAAATGGTGGACTCTGCGTGACACCTGTTCAGATGATCTCTTGTATCTCATTAGTTATGATCTGAATGGATATTCTGTGTCAACTAGTGACTCTTCCTCAATTAAGCAATGTCATTGTTTATTAAGTATCTTTCTGTTTTAGGGTATATCATAGAAAGGCCATTGTAAATTGGCTCAAATTGTTCTCCCCTCAAGTACCATACGGCTTTCACTGTGATTTGGTTACAACAGCAACAGCGTTGAGATCCAGGGAGAGATTGCCAGTGAGACCTTGGAGTCCTAGTTCCTGAGTGTGTGTTTTAGAGACGCATCTGGTTTAATGGCTAGGCTGGAACTAATAAAATGTACTTGACCACGTAGTACTGCATGCGTGGTCATTTTATACTGAGGGTGTGCTGTCCTTTGGGTGAGACATTTTAAGAAGGCTCCCTCTGGATGTGTATGATTTTGAGAATGTGCAGATGAGTTAGTTCCAATGCCCTGGTCAACGTTTCTCCATCACTGAACCAGATTATCTGCTTATTGATAAATTTACATTAGTTGTGAGCTCTCTATGTGTAGCTGAGTTGCTGTGTTTTCTACATTACAGCAGGACTGGACTTCAAACATTCCTAATTTCTTATGCCCCCTTTTGTATACCTTCGTTGTGTATAGCCTGTCAAAGTAAGGAATAAGTTTAGAAGAGTATTTTACAAGATTAATGATTAGGAGTTGGTTTAATCGAATAGGCAGTGAGCATAAAGCTTGAATGGTTAATGTCATCTGGCCCTGGATGTATGTCAGATTTTAAGTGCTTTTATTGTAATGCCTATGAGTTCTGGCTTGAGTCACAATTTATTTCCATTACCCTTTCCAACCTGGAGTTTTGCACAGTTCCTCACTTTGATAAGATGAACAGGTGATTTATCCTTGAGCCTGTGGAAAATCTCTGCAACTAGAGTTTGAAAACTCTACCCCAGTATGAATAGTGATACATTTCTTCCTTTCTGTGCCCTGACATTTTGCTGCAATCATGATTTGAATAGATTAAAAATCTGCAGTATTGTGAGGAAGAAGGTGGTAGGTTGAAATTTTACGTCAATATATCACCACACAAAACGTTTTGTGAATGCAACAGAGAGGATTGAATAGTATGTAGACACTGACTATAAGGAGAAATGGGAGGGAGTGGCTTGACTTTTCCTGATTTGATGCATTTAATATGAAGTAAAACAATATATAGTGTATGTGATTCATACTGGGTTAGTTTGATTTGTAGAATTTGAGGGCAATTAAGTTGGTACCCGTGTACATGACAACAAAATATTGAACTAAAATCAACACAGTTGAACCGAACTTGGCTGCAACCAGCTATTATTACGCAGCCAGCAGAAAAATGCAAAGCATTTTCAGTCAAAATAATGTTTTGTTTTAGTAGATGTTACTAAGTATTTTAAGGGGTGATGGTAGCTTAGTGGTAGTGTCACTGGCTATGGGGTACATGTGTGTTCAAATCCAGTGCAGTGGTTGGTGATTTTGATTTCAATTAATAAACCTGGAATACAAATCAGTCTCAGTAGTGGTGACTGTGATAACTATTGTTGATTGTGATGAAAGCCCATCTGATTCACTAATGTTCTTTAGTTATGGAAATCTGCCATCTGTAGCTGGTCTGGCCTACATGTGACTCTAGACCCATAGCAGTGTGGTTGACTTTGACTGCCCTCTGAAATAGTATATGTAACAAGCCACTAGGCGCAAGGGAAGTTTGAGCTGGACAACAAGTACTGGTCTTTCCAACCAAGCTCGAATCCCATAATGATTTTTAAAAATTCTGATATAATTTGCTTACCTTTGTGGTTTTTGTCATTGCCAGCAACAGCTGTTGATAGCTGTACATATATAACACGCTGTTGTCCTCAATGTGCCCACATTCTGCTTTTATTCCATCTTCATCCTATTCCTTCCACCCTTCCATGCCACTCATCTTGCTGTTAGCATCTGATCACCAAGTTAGATTTCTTCCCTTATGGAAACAAGTTCTCTATCCAGGAATATCATAAACCAAAGCATACAATGTCTCTAAAATCATATACAAACATTTGCCAGTTGTGCAATTATGAATTTTGCTGTTCTAAACTTGGGTCATGCCTGGAGAAATGGGTGGCTGTAGGTATCTCACTGGTTATGTAAATAGCAGGAATAATTTAACATTGCATTCCAAAATTGTGTTGAGGCATTTCTGTGCACTTTGGGGTGATTGCATTGATATTAAATTAGGTCTGGAGGTCATTAAACCCCAGACACTAAATGTTTCTCTGCCCTTTCCATTCTGTTGTAGCTGCAGTATCTGTCAACCTTTTGGCAGCCATATGTGCATCATGTGCTCCTGTACGCATTAGGGTTTAGAAAGATGAGAGGGGACCTCGATGAAACGTACACGATTCTTAAATGACTTGACAGGTTGGATGCAGAAAGGTTGTTTCTCCCTTGAGGGAGAATCCAGGACCAGAGGGCATACCTTACAATAAGGGGTTACAGATGAGAAGGAATTTTTTTGAAGATAGTAAATCTGTGGAATTCTTTACCACAGAAGGCCATTTAGGCTGGGTCACTAAATATAAACAAGACTGAGGCAGACAGATTTCTAATCAATAATAAGGCAGAAAAGTGGCATTGAGGATTACCAAATTGGCCAGGATTGAATTGAGTAGTGGAGCAGACTCGATGACTGAATGGCCTACACTTCTAAGTTTTTTATGGGTTTCAGTACCTCTATGCATTAGATCCCAGAGTTCCAAATGATGGTCAATGTTGGACACAAGTTGCAAATTTTCAGCTGAATATTAATTCTATGCAGCGTGGTACTGACAATGCTTGAATTTAAAGTTGTGAAGTTTGACTGCTACAGTTGAATTAACAGAAATTGTAATGTTGGTGCACTTGGTGTTCCTGGCAGGAATGGGAATATTTGGTTCGGATCTACATATTCATTGATAACCCTTGTCAATCAGAACTGTCTTTGGATTTTTTGTCTTTATTTTAAATATTCTGGGGGATAATATTTTGTGGAAGTCCAGTGTTTCTATTGTACAATCACCTCAAAATACACTGCCTTAGAAAGAGGGCATGAGCAAATGGTATGATTTGCTAGAAATAATTGTCCACAGGGATCGTTACTGAGGGTGGGTGTCTTGGGGATTTACTAAGAGTAGGTGCACATGCTAATAGATGAGTTGTTTGGTGTAGTGCTGATGGAGACAAGTATTCAATTGTTTTCAATTATTATTTACTACTATTCTTATTACATTCAAAGCACCTCAGCATTTTAAAAAAAAACTAATTGCAGTATTAATTTGTTTTGTTGATTTCTTGCAGAATACTCCGACTCAAGAAGGAGCCACCAACCTTGCAGCCAAAAGAACCACCATCTTCACTTCTGGAGGCTGATCTGACCGAATTTGATGTTAAAAATTCCCACTTGCCTTCTGAGGTTCTTTATATGCTCAAGAATGTTAGGTAAGCATCCAAGTAGGTAATGGCATTTTACCTGTAAAATTGATGTTGCGGCTCTGCAAATTTGATGTTCCTTACAGGGCAGTCGTACTTATTTCAGGGTTGTTTAACGTATCAATAAACCTTCTGAGTAATGTTCAGAATCCAACAACTTGTCTCCATTACTTTGAGTACTGATGACAGCTGTCTCAGTGGACCTGACGCTAAACATATCCAAATCAAAAATGGCACCAAGCATTAAAGTCAACAATGTTGAACCACATTAAATAATGTCTGCTGTCGCTCAGTGGTAGCCTCACGTGAAGTTTGTGGGTTCAAGTTCCACTCCAAACACTTAGTCTGGACTGAGAGTACGTCACCCAGGAAACACTACTGGAAGTAATACTGTTTAAGCTGAGGCTGTGTTAACAGTCCAAGGTATATGCAATCACAACAGTTGTGGAATATAACAGTATGGAATGTGGTCCTTCAGCCCATCTTGTTCACGCTGGTCATCAAGCATCTATCTGCTGCAGTCCCATTTCCCATCACGTGGCCTTGTCGCGATAGTGTGTCAAGTGTTCATCTAAATACTACTTAAATGGTTCCTGCCTCTATCACCCTTTCAGGAAATGTGTTCCAGATAACCACAATCCTCTGGGTGAAAATATTTCTCCTTAAATCCTCTCCAACCCCCTTGCCGTTTACCTCAAATCTTTGCTGGTTATTAATACCTGTACTAATGGGAATTTTTTATGCTTTTCATCATATATATCCCACCCCCCCCAACCTTTTCTACTCAAAACAACGCCTCTGGTCTATTTTCATAGTTGAAACACTCCAGCCCAAGCAACGTCCTGCTAAGTCTCCTCTGAACCCTCTCCAGTGCAATCACACCCTTTTCAGATCCCAACTTACCATTTTAAAGAAGAGCAGGGGAGATCTCTGTGGTGCTCTTCCTGATATTTATTGTTTTCTTACCAGCAATTATTAAAAATAATGACCTGGTTATTATTATAATGATGTGATGGAATCTTGCTGTGTGCATACTGACTGCTATGCTTTACCTGCCAAGAGTACTGTCCCTACACTTTAAAGAAATATTTTGTTGACTGTGAAGTACTTTGGATGTCCTGAGGTCCTACATTTCTTTTGCCAGTCTTCCTTTTTAAACAGTTGAAGCTGCTGACTACAGGATTGCAGGGGTCATGATTAAACTTTAGTGTTCTGGAGTGACTCAGAGGAGCCATGAAACTTCTCTCTGAGGTTAAACATTTGATCAAGGAAGAACTGGTGTGGTGGTGAATGAATAATGGGAGATGGACCTACAGAGAGGAAATGCAACAAAAGAAGGAAAAGAGGAGTTCAGGATGATGAAAGGGAATAAGAGGGAGGGTGAGAACAGATACAGAATGGGAGGGTTAAAATTGAAATGAAGATTATTGCACACAGTAATGCTATCTGTAGCAATGCATCTACCTTCTTCTCTCTCTTTCTCTGTACCTAAGTGATTTATTAGCTGAATCGGCTGTATATTATTGTAGGTTAATGACTGGAATAGTTTTAATACTGACAGTTCTGAGTTAATTATTTCAAAATAAATGTGAGTAAACAACTTTGTAAGACTATTGGAAAGCTATGACTCAAACTTTAAGATGCATTATTATTTTTGGGGCAAGTTATTTGCCCTCTAAACAAACAATTTTTAAACATCGTAAAGTACTAGTGAAGTCATCATTAGCATTCATTCACTAACTTGATGAGAATTGTGGTAATCTGATTACAGTGTAGCACCTATACCTGAGATTTAAAGTGGGGGTGTTATCACTGCTTGGCAGTGTAAACAACAACAATTTTCAATTGTATTGCACCTTTAATAGCATTTTACAAGGTGTTTTGTGGAGGTGTTTCCAAGCAAAATGAACAGAGTGAAAGAAACACTTAAGCAGCATGGTGGTTCAGTTGTTAGCATTGCTGCCTTACAGCGCCAGTGACCTGGGTTCGATTCCACCCTAGGATGACTGTCTGTCTGGAGTTTGCACGTTCTCCCCGTGTCTGTGTTGGATTCCTCTGGGTGCACCAGTTTCCTCCCACAGTCCAAAGATGTGCAGGTTAGATGGATTGGCCATAGGGATGTGTAGGCTATGTGGATTAGCCATGGGAAATGCAGGGCTACAGGGATAGAGTAGTGGACTGGGTGGGCTGCTCTTCAGAGCATTGATGCAGACTCGATGGGCCAAATGGCCTGCTCCCACATCTTAGGGATTCCAAGATTAGGTTAGGTGATTAAATCTTGGTCAATGAAGTTTTCCTAAAGACATACCTTCAAGGAAGAGCAAAAGGCAGAAATGTATAGGGAAGGAATTCTGGAGCTTGGACCTAGTGGGTTGAAGGTACAAATGATTAAGGAAGTTCATAAGTTAGTTATAGAATCATAGTCATACAGCACAGAAACAGACCCTTTGGTCCAATCACTCAATGCCGAACATAATCCCAAACTAAACTCTTCCCATCTGCCTGCTCCTGGTCCATATCCCTCCATACCTTTTCCTATTCATGTATCCATCCAAATGTCTTTTAAACATTGTAATTGTAATTGTTCCCACATCCACCACTTCATCAGGAAGTTTATTCCACATGCAAACCACCCTGTGTTTTAAAAAAAAAATGCCCTCATGTCTTTTTTTAAATCTGTCTGCTCTCATCTTAAAAATGTGCCCCCTAGTCTTGAAATTCCCCATCTTTGGGAAAAGACAACTACTATCAACTCTCTCTGTAGCTCTCCTTATTTTATAAACTTCTGTTAGATCGCGCCTCAACCTGCTACGCTCCAGTGAAAGAAATCCCAGCCTATCCAGCCTTTCCTTATAATTCAAACCTTAACTGGCAACAATCTGGTAAATCTCTTCTGAACCCTCTCCAGCTTCATTATATCTATGACTGGGTGACCAGAACCGGACACAGTATTCCAGAAGATGCCTCACTGATGACCTGTACACCCTCAACATAACGTCCCAACTCCTATATTGAAAGGATTGATCAATGAAGGCCAACATGCTAAGCGCCTTTTTAACCATGCTGTCTACATGTGACTCCAACTTTAAAGAATTATGTACCTGAACTCATTGGTTTGGGCCTTGTGAATGAAAAATAACAACTACGTCATTTAAGAAGTAATGTCATGAAGCACTTCACACAAAGTGTAGTAGAAACCTGGAGCTGTCCTCTTGTATGTGAAAATATATGCCATCTTGATAACTTTGAATAGATATTAGTGAAGACTGTTTTAATCTCACGTTTTCCTGTTAAAATATGGGGTCTGAACTTGTAGTTTTCAAAATTTGGGTCCTGGGCTGACCCAAGCATGACCCAGTGTAATTTTAAGCCTAGCAGTCTAAAAGAATCAATCAACCTTGAAACAGCTCATCTCCATGATTAAGGAGTCAGGTAGGAATGCTGTCATGTTAGATTTTCATTTTCATAGACTCCCTACGGTGTGGGAGCAGACCATTCAGCCCATTGTGTCCAAACTGACCTTCCGAAGAGCATCCCTCCCAGACCGAGCTCCCTACCCTATTCCAGTATTTCCCGTGGCTAATCCACCCGGCCTGACATCCCCGGATACTGGGCAATTTAGCATGGCCAATCCACCTAATTTGCACATCTTTGGACTGTGGGAGGAAATCGGAGCATCCGGAGGAAACCCAGGCAGACGCTGGGAGAATGATGTTGTTGATTTGTTCCCCAAGCTGGTAGGTTGGTTTGCAGACATTTCATCACCATACTAGGTAACATCATCAGTGCATCTTTGATGAAGTGTTGTTGGTCTGTCCTACTTGTTATTTATGTGGTCCGGTCTGATGTGGCAGTTGGCCTCATTTCCAGTTCTGCTTTGTAGTGGTTGGTATATGGAGCCTATTTCCATATGTTTGTTGATGAATTTCCAGGTTGAGTACCATGCCTCTTGGAAATCCCGTAGGTGTTTTTTGTTGGCTTGTCCTATGATGGGTACGTTGTCCCAGTCAAGAATTTGCAAACTCCACACAGACAATCACCGGAAGCTGGAATTGAACCTGGGTCCCTGGCGGTGTGAGGCTAAAGTGTTAGCCACTTGCCACCGTGCTTCCCCAGGTGGTCTCCAGTTCATGCTTCTATACCATAGTGTGATTGACATCAACTATGTTAGTATATTGAATGAAGCTCCTTACAATGGGGAATCAGAACTGATCATACACATGACTGTGGTTCTGACAATAAACTGAAATAAGGGTCAGAGATAGTGTAGTGTTAAACAATCTGATGTAATTCTCTCCTTGTACAAATGCCAGTGGACTTAATGTGGCATTTTCAGCAGCTTCTGTTATTTGTATAGTAGTGCAACATGTCATTCTTTATCCTTGAAGGGTGCTGGGACACTTTGAGAAACCGCTGTTTCTGGAACTGTGTAAACACATGTTCTTCGTACAATTCCACGAAGGGGAATACATCTTCCGTCCAGGCGAGATTGATGACAGCATCTATGTGGTACAGGATGGGAGACTGGAACTCTGCATCAATGAGAATGTAAGATTGTGCAGACCTTTTGTATCTAAGAACAGCTTCAACCATTTAGGAATGTTTTATCCTAGTACTGTTAATTAGTGGCATGTTCTGGTTCAGGTCAAAATTTAAGCCATTAGAGCCACTGATTTTAATAAGCTCACTTTTTTTTTTATTTTATGACTAAGTAGCAGAGTCTAATCACATTGGAGTTGTTGTCTTTGAGGAATTATGTGTTTGGCATGTGTGGTGAAGCAGGGTTTATATTATGAGCAGGAGTCATTACTCATGGAGCTTCATCTGTGACAGAGGAATTAATCACATTGTCAGGCCAGTAAGTCCTCCCATTCAGTGATCTTTGTTACTGACTGTAACTCTGCCAGCTATCCCTGCTATGGATTACCCTATCTGGATTCATCAGCTCCCTAACAGTGTTGAGCTTGATTGCACTTCCAAGTCAACAGCTAAAGTTGTTGAGACAACAAGGTGCAGGGCTGGATGAACACAGCAGGCCAAGCAGCATCATAGGAGCAGAGTTGACCAGCTCTTCTGATATAAGACCAGCTTCTGCATACTGCTAAGTTCAGTAGCTCTTCCCAGACAGTATCCTGTGCTACTGACTGTAATTATACCAGTAATCTCACCATCCCACACTCACTCAGTAATCCCTCCCCACAGCATCTTATGGTACTGATTATATTTGTCCTGATCGTTATCCAATTCTTTCAAACTATCCAGTTCATTAACTCCTCTAAGCCAGTGCTGTTTATTTGCACAGTTACTGATCCAGCTTCTTAAAGATGCTGTAGCTTATTCTATTTGTATCTCCCATGATAGCACTTAAACTTTAAGCATAAATACTCAAAAACAAGAAAAATCCTTCAGAGAGACAAATAAAGTAAAAGAAATGGTTGTATTAATCCTTTTAGCTAAAAGGTTGATGCAGCAGTGAATCAGCTTTCCCAAGTGGCTTGTTATTGGTAAAAATAAGAATGAAAGGCCTGTATAATATCTCTCAGAAATGAAACCAAGTTGTTTTAAGATCAGTGTTGCAACCACTTTGTTCATATGATGTCTTATAACAGCAATAACATGAATGATCAGCTGATCTGTTTTCTGGTGATAGTTGAAGGTATAATGTTGACCAAGAAACAAGAGGAGCTAAAATGCTTTTGTACAAAATTCTCCTCTTCAGAAAAATACCATAAAGTCCTGAGCATCTGAATCGAACCATCTGAATAGGCAGATGTGGTCTTAATTTAAAGTTAGAACTGCTATGGCACCATCTGTTACAAGCAGCATATAGTTGACATCTTGGATCATATGTCCAGGCACTTGAATCCAAGTTTTCTGACTGAGAAAATGTAACAGTGAATTGTGTGTCAGTTTTCCAGTTACAGACTTACAAACTAGCCATGCATTTGCAAAAAATCACACAATAGCCTCTTTACTATGAATTTTCTCATAACTCCTCTCTTGTCCAGAGCGTGGCAGTGTAATCCAACTCCAGATCTTTGTTGCTGGCGATCCATAATTGGCTACTTAGAAGCAGCCTGCGATGGAACCAAATTGCTTTTTGCCTGTGAACTTGCAGTTCATGGTGTTTCACCATGGCATGATTGACAACAGAAGCATCTTGAAATAAATGACTCTCTGTATAATCAGAATTACTTTCAGAAACTAAACCCATTGAATAAATAAGTCTTATAGATACATTTTGTTGAACGTGAGTTTTAATAGTTATAGGATGAAGGTCGCTGGATGAGGTTAAACTATGTGTCAGCTGGCTGATCTAATTGAATGTTGGTATGCAGCAAAGGTTAACACACCAATGGCTTGCTTCTGCTTCTGTATGCCTCATTTGATAATGATATAAACTGTATCAGTAGAAAAGGGAGACATGTTCAAGTTGTGGAAGACAAATTTAGCAAAAATGTCAAGTTCTTTTGCGAGCAAATAATAGACTTCTGCCTGGAAGCATGATGCCTTTCTATTTACAATATATTGGTATACTGATGAACTGTGTCAGATAATCAAAAATACAGTTTGGAGTAGTTGGTAAGATTAATTGAAACACATTAGTGACTTCAAGCAGTTGCTTGAATCAGTATCTAATTTTTTGTTCTTTGTTTGAACAGGATGGCACTGAAGTTGTGGTGAAAGAAGTCCTACCAGGTGACAGTGTGCATAGTCTTCTCAGTATTCTGGATGTAATTACTGTAAGTAAATAGTGCACTATGTGCAGGCCATTTTAATGTGTTTTCTCAGTTGCCAGATGTGAGTCACAACTGTAACTATACAGTACTTTGCTTACTTTTTTAAAATTCAGATGGAGATGCTCCAACTTGCTTTAATGTTTGCAAAATACTTAACAACTTATAAATTTTTTTGATCTATCAAAATGTGGTTCTCTTCCACAAAGTGGAACGTTCCTGTTGTGTACAGTACATACAGTTACTGAAATTAGTAGTTCTTATATGTGTGGTCATATTTGACAACGTGAGTCTCCCCTAACTTAAACCTGACTCCTTTTGGGGTGTGCTTACTTGAACATCATCAATTGCTGTTCATGATCTCAGACAGAATCTAGGATCTAGACAGGGTTTGCTGGGATACAGGGCTATAATAGTATCTACCATAATCTTACCCTCACCGAGCATGCACACAAACATATTCTAGAAGGAACACCAGCTACTGATTAGACGTGGGAATTGTGTCTTGATCCTACCTCCATGACTCGAGGACCAGGGCCTTGAGACCAGTTATAACCCTTAGCAGTCTGTGTTTAGAAAATGTTGTCAGAAAGTACTTGATATGTGTTTTGAGTTTAATTCACTTGTGTTGGATCTTACAGGCCTGGTCACGTGGATTTAAGAGAGCACTTTTTTTCACATTTAATTCCGCTACTAACTGTAAATGTCAGCCTGTGGAATAATGATATCAATGTCTTGCCCAATATTTGCCTGAGGTCAAAAACTGTAAATTTGCCTGTTCTTTTAGGGTTGTGGTCAGCAATGTGCAAAGAACTCTTCAGCGATCAGCAATTCACATGGATTCTGTTACTATTTTGCATATGTTCTGCATAACTAGACCATCTGGGTCCACGTTGTTCAATGCCTTGCATTGACTTCCATATTTTGTAGTGTTGATGGATTGGCATAAACACAAATATTGATTTTCCACTGTATGTTAAGTCTATTTACTTAAATCATAGGTTGCTGGTATCTGGAGATTTGTTTCCTTGTTCCAGCCCTTTTTTTTATTATTAAAGGAAAACTTTCAGTTTTCATCTTCAAGGTGAATCAAATGGTAATATTACACCCAAAAGTCACTACACACAAGGACTGCAGATGTTCAGGAAGGGACCTTTTCAAGGATAATTGGGATGAGTAATAATTGCTGGCCCAGCCAGTGGCACCCACATTACATGAGCAGAAAAAATTAAAGCAATAAAGTTCAAAAACGTCAGGTGTTCCTTTCATATTGTAGCAACCCTGTAAAGACAAAATAGGCACTTAATAAAAATTATTTTTGAATGATAGTTTGCTTCATCTTCAACTTCCTGTGTTCCCTTTCTTGTGTTTTAGTTATGAAGAAATAATATATGATAAATCATCAACTTTTGTTTCAAGAAAGCTTTCTCATTATTTCCAATGTTGTTTTGCGAGTAGCAGTCAAATTCCCCCAAACCTTTGTAGCTGAGAAATGATGTCTAAGGCCAAATTTTCAACCTGCTCATGACCAGAACTCATTTTGACATAGTTCTCTTATGAGAAAGTGGCACACTCATGTGAAAAGCTTTTCTCATCAGCACTGATCATGGCAAGGATGTACTTTGAGGTGTCCTATATTTTATTAGCTTGGTGCACTTGACATGGTGTACCTGTGATCTAGAAGCAACTAATTCTGTTAATAGGAACTGAAATCTGTAAAAAAAATTTTGTATGAATAACAGTCAGGGATTTGAGTTTACTGTTTGTTTGAATGTCTGTGCTACACTTCAATTCAATTATTTGATACGATCACAATTGTTTTGATTGAGCAGCAATGCTCACTTTGTGTTCACTTCTGATACGGCCAAACAAATAGATGTATTTCAATGAGTGACAGTATGTTGGGAGGGAATCATTTTGTTTCTATAATGTACTGACTCATGAAAATCACATTTATCAGATTGAATGCATCTTTCAACTTCAGTGTTGTGAATGTATTCTTCCTCCCCTCCCCACCTCTTGTGTTCAGAATCAGAAGGTTGTAAGGCCAAGGCCCACTCTAGAGACTTGAGCGCATTATCCCATTGACACTTCACTGCTTCACTTGGAGTACAAGAATGAAACCGGGCTTCTTCAAGGCTTTATGCCTCGATCAACATCATTAAAATAGATGAACAGATTGCTGCTTGTGTACAAATGGGCTAATGTCGCAACAATGAATGCTCCTCTGCTAGAAGGTGGTGGGTTTAGCTTTCAGTCTAGAAATAGAAGTATAAAATCTAGGCTCGCACTTCATTATAGTACTGAGGGAGTGCTGCAGTGTCAGAAATTCCGTCTTTCAGATGAGATCCTAAACCAAATTTGTGACGTTCTTTGATGAAGGTTAGGTATAGGAGTTCTCCCAGTGTTCTCTTCGGAAACAAAATCACAAAGTAATTGCTCTAAAAAGAGAGATGAAGTTGAAGCTTTCTTCATCCACTTCTCAGGAATGAAATGCAAAGAAAAAAGAATTTTAGAAAGGAAGAAACTTTTTTTTATCATAAGATGTAGGAGTCGAAGTTAACCATTCAGCCTATCAAGTCAGCTCCATTGTTTAATGAGATCATGTAAGGTTTTGGAGTAGATTTGTAGCTCGGGTTGTGGGTGTTGTGGTTGGTTGGCTCGCCGAGCTGGTTTGTTGTTCCTCAGACGTTTCGTTACCGTGCTGGGTAACCTCATCAATGCAGCCTCCGATGAAGCGTCGTTGTGTTTTCCCGCCTGGTTTTTTAACTCTGGGGTCCGTTGAGCTGGATTGCCTCACTTCGGGTTTTCCTTCGTAGTAGAGTGTATATGGGGTCGAGTTCTATGTGTTTATTGATGGCTTTCTTCGTGGAGTGCCAGGCTTCTAGGAATTCCTGTGCCTGTCTCTGCTTTGCTTGTCCCAGGATTTTGGTGTTGTCCCAGTCGAATTGGTGGTTCTCCTTATCCATGTGGATTGAGATGAGTGGATAAGGAGAACCACCAATTCAACTGGGACAAGCTAAGCAGAGACAGGCACGGGAATTCCTAGAAGCCTGGCACTCCACGAAGAAAGCCATCAATAAACACATAGAACACGACCCCATATACACTGCACTACGAAGGAAAACCGGAAGTGAGGCAATCCAGCTCAACGGACTTCAGAGTTTAAAAACCAGGCGGGAAAACACACTGACGCTTTATCGGAGGCTGCACTGATGATGTTGCCCAGCAGGGTAACGAAACATCTGCGGAACAACAAGCCAGCTCGGCGAGCCAACCAACCTGAACAATGAGATCATGGCTGATCTGATAACCCTCGATTCCCTTACTGATTCAAAATTTGTCTGTCTTAGCCTTGAATATACTTAACGACTAGCCTTGACAACTCTCTGTGGTAAAGGATTCCACAAATTCAGTACCCTCAGAAGAACTTCCTTCTCATCTTCGTCTTTGGGTATCTCCTTTCTGAGATTATGCCTTCTGTCCTAGCCTTTCTCATAAGTGGAAACAAGCTTTCTGCATCAACACTGGATCTTAAGTTTCAGTAAAGTCTCTCTTTCTTTTTTTTTCTTAAATTCCAACGAGTAGAGATCCAACCTACTCGGCCTCTCATAAGAAAATCTCATCATACATGGGATTAACCTAATGAACCTTCTCTGGATTGCTTTCAATGCTGGTATACCTCTCCTTAGGTAAGGGGCCAACACTGCTCATAGTTTTCTAGCTGTTGTCTGATTGGTGCCTTCTTTAGTTTTAGCAAAACTTCCCTATATTTATACCCCATTCCCTTTGAAATAAAAGCCTACATTGCATTTATTTTCCCTATCACTTGCTGAACCTGGATGTTAACTTTTTGTGAATCATGCACAAGGACTCCCCAAATCCCTTGATGCTGGCTCTCTGCAATTTTTTTCTGTTTAAATAATATTCAGCTGTTCTCTTCCTGCCAAAGTACATAACCTCCTATTTTTCCCACATTGTATTTCATCTGCCAAGTTTTTTGCTCACTAACTTAACCTGTCTGTTTCCCTCTATAGATATGTTGCATCACCCTCAACACTTGCCTTTCCACTTCTTTCTGTGTTCATCATCCAAGTCGTAAATCATCCATGTTGTAAATAATTATGGTCCCTACACTGATCCCTGTGCCTCCTCATTAGTTACAGATTGCCATCCTGAAAATGTCCACCTTATCCTAACTCTGTTTTCTATCACTTAATCAGTTCATATCCATGTTACTATACTATCTTCAACACCATGGGCATTTACTAAGTAGGCTTATGTGTGATACCTTTATTGAATGCCTTCTGGAAATCCAAATATATTACAGTGACTGTTTCCCTTTGTCTGCCCTGTTTGTTACTTCTTCAAAGAGCTGTAATATATTTGTCAGGCATGATTGCCCTTCATGAAGCCATGTTAATTCTGCTTGATGATATTGTGTCCTATTAAATACTCTGCTATTACTTCCTTGAAAAGACACTAATAGTTTCCCAATGCCCAATACTAAGCTATTTGGCCTGTAATAACCAGTCTTTGTCTTGATGTTTTGGCGTAGTGGCTCAGTGGTTAGCAGCTCTGCCTCGCAGCGCCAGGGACCGAGGTTTGATTCGGGTGACTGTGCAAACTGTACACAGTTCTTTCTGTGTCTGCGTGAGTTTCCACTGGGTGCTCTGGTTTCCTCCCACAGTCCAAAGATGTGCAGATTATGTGGATTGGCCATGCTAAATTGCCCATAGTGTCCAGGAATGTATAGGCTAGGTGGATTAGCCATTGGAAATGCAAGGTTATGAGAACCGGGTGGGGAGTGAGTCTGGGTGGGATGCACTTTGGAGGGTTGGTGCACACCCACTCTCTGGATTCTGCACAAAAGTGTTTAGCATGAGTGATTTTCCAATCCCCTGGGACTTTTCCAGAATGTAAGCATTCTTGATGGTTACCACCAGAATTTCTATATCTCTGTAGCAACCTCCGTTAAAAACCTATGATGCAACCCAACAAGTTCAGGGGGCTTATCAGCCTTTAGCCCTATTAGTTTCCCTAGTACTTTTTTTCTGGTGATAGTTATTGTATTTTTTCCCCCATTTTTGCCCCTTAATTATTTGGTATGTTTGGAATGAACAAAGAACAGGCCCTTTGGCCCACCAAGTCTGTGCTAACACATGATGACTTTTTGAACTAAAAACCTTTTGCCTGTACGTGGTCGGTATCCTACGTGGTCCGTATCCCTCTGTTCTTTGCCTATTCTCATATCTGTCGAGATGCCTCTTTACCATTGCTATTGTATCTGCCTCCATCGTCTCTATTGGCAGCATATTCCAAGCACTCACTGTAAACAAAAATAAATTGCCTACCACATTTCCTTTAAACTTACCCCCTTTTACCTTAAACCTATGTCCCCTAGTCATTGATATTTCTAATCTGAGAAAAAGACACTGACTATCCATTCTTTCTGTGCCTACAATTTTGTAAACTTCTATCAGGTCACTCCTCCATCTTTCAATGTTCAAGTGAAACAAGTCCAATGTCTCCTCATAGCTAATTCCCTCCAAACCATGCAACATCTAGTAAACTGTTTCTGTACCTTCTCCAAAGCCTTCACATCGTTCTGGTAACGTGGCAACCAGAATTGTACACAATATGGCCAACTGTGGCTTAACTAAAGTTATATGCAGCTACAACGTGACATGTCAACTTACTGTCTGACTGATGAAGGCAAGTATGCCATATGCCTTCTTGACCACCATCTTGTATTGCCACTTTCAGGGAACTATGGGCTTATGTTAATGCTATTAAGGGTCTGCCATTTACTGTCTATTTCCTTCCCGCATTAGATCTTCCAAAATGCATCCTCGTATTTATGTAGATTAAACTCTATCTGCCATTTCTCTGCCAAAGTCTCTAGCCATTGTATATCCTGCTCAATCCTCTGGCAATCCTCACTTACTTTCTGTAGCTCCCCCAATCTTTGTATCATCCACAAACTTACTAATCAGACCACCTACATTCTCCTCAAAATCATTTATTTATATTACAAGCAATAGGGTTCCCACAACTGATCCCTGTGGAACACCACTGGCTACGAATCTCCATTCAGGAAAAATCGTTCCGCTGCTGTATGTCGTCTATGACTTTGCCAGTTCTAAATCCAATGTACCAGCTCACCGTGGATCCCACATGACTTCACCTTGTGAATGCCATGAGGGATCTTGTCAAAGGCTTTGCTAAAATCCATATGGGTAATATCTACTGCCCTGTGCTCATCAATCATCTTTGTCACTTCCTCAAAAAAATTCAGTCAAGTTTGCGAGACATGACCTACCCCACATAAAGCTATGCTGCCTGTTGCTAACAAGTCCATAATTTTGCAAATGTGAGTAAATACAGTCTGTAAGAATCTTCTCCAATAATTTCCCTATTACTGACATAAGGCTCACTGGCCTGTAATTTCCTGGATTATCCCTGTTGCTCTTAAACAAAGGAAACATGGTGGCTATTCTCCAGTCCTACGGGATTTCTTCTGTGACTAAAGAGGATACAAAGATTTTGTATAAGGCACCAGCAATTTCCTCACTATTCTGGGATAGATCCCATCATGTCCTGGGAACTTGTCTACCTTAATGTTTTCAAAACACCCAGCACCCCTTTTTTTGTTTGACATGCTCAGAATATCAACATGCCCCTCCCGAGATTCACCATCCATCATGTCCTTCTGCTTTGTAAATATTGATGCAAAGTATTCGTTGAGGACTTCACCCACTTTCTCCAGCTTCATGCATAAATTCCCTCCTTTGTGCTTGAGTGGACCTACCCTTTCTCTAGCTACCCTGGTGCTCTTTTTATATGTATGAAACGCTTTGGGATTTTCCTTAAACCTGTTTGCCCCTGTTAGCACTCCTAGTTTCTTGTTTCAGTCCTTTCCTGCTATCTTTGTATTCTTCGAGGGCTCTGTCTTCAGTTTCCTGAACCTCCTTTTGTATGCCACCTTTTTGTTTTTGACCGAGCTCTTAATTTCTTTCGTCATCCACAATTCCCAAATCTTGCCATCCTTATTTTTTGTTTTCACAGGACTGTGCTGGTTCTGAACTCTAATTAAAAATAAACAGCAGACTTTCGGCCAGATTTGATCGTGTCTTCAGCTGAGTCACTTCTGCATGATTAAATCACTGGATAACAGCTGGGAGCAGAAACTCTTGGCTTGTTATCTTTCACTCGCCTTCCATACCTTCAACCTTTTCCTCACTTGGACCGATTTGTACTTTTCCTATCACTGCTGAGTCTGGTAGACTGAGCATTTTGAGTTCTTTATGAATTTGTCAAACACTTGGCATTATGCTCACCACTGGGTCATTGTGTGGCACCTAATCTTTTTTTGATTACTTAAGGGTACAATACATACTTCTGTGTTGCATTGTTCTTTAGATTTGCAACAAAATTATCTTGATATAAAAATAAAGCCAGCCCAAATGGAAATGTGTTCCTGAAGAATGTAGTTTAACTCAAGCAATGTGAGTTCTCTATCTATCCCCACACCTTGTGGCCTCCTTTAGTTATTTTGTTCAAATGAACTAAAGTACTGCAATGAGGTTCGAAGGTTATTAGGGATTGGCAGGAATGTAGATTTGAGGTCACGATCAGATCAATCAAATCTTCTTAAATTTTCAAGCAGTCTGAAAGGCCAAGTGACCACCCGGTGTTCCTAATTTGTATGCTGGGGTTAAGTATGAGGCCTCAGTGACATAGCAGTACTATCTGAAATGTTTTAAAATATACAGTTTATAAGTTTGTTCAAGTGTTTATTGCTTTGCTCATTTTCTAGGGTTATCCTGCTCCGTACAAAACGGTGTCTGCCCGGGCACTCTGTACATCCACTGTTCTGCGCTTGCCAGCTAGTGCATTTCAGTCAGTCTTCCAGAAGTACCCAGAAACCCTGGTCAGAGTGGTTCAGGTAAGCAAGTGTTTTGATTTTTAAAACAGCACTGCTGCAGGGAAGGGTGCAGTTGAAATTTTGACTTGGTTTGCTTCCCTTGGCCAGGAAGTATGGAAGGTTAAGGGTTGCTCTTGTTGCCATGACTTGGTGCAGTCTGCTTTCTGGGGAAGTGAGGCCAGACAATCTCCTACATCACTCTTCCTATATTCACATTTGAAATTAGTTAATGGTCTTCTGTGGTTCATACTAGATATATGGACTTTCAAAGCAGACACATTTGGTAAAGTAGATTTGTTTTTAGCACTGAAACTCCTGGGATTAATTGGCCTGCTTGGATGCAAAATTGGCCGAAGTTCAGAGACTGGTGAACAGTTGGTTGGTAGACTGTGTGCAGTGGTGTCTCCCAGGAACTGGTAGAGGAACCACTGTTCTTTTCGATGTGAATTTGGGTATGTAATTAAAGTTTGCAGTTGAGTCCTAACTTGAAAATGTAGTGAACAGTGAACAGTGAGACTCTAGGAGGACACTGACATACCAGTGAAGAAGTGAGTGATGACTTGGGTAGAAAGAAAGGCAATTTAAATTAAGCAAACAAAAAAAAA